TATTATTTATTTATTGTTGTGAAATATATTGGGCTGCTCGATGTAAAGTATTGTATAAATGCTTATGAACAATTATGTGACATTATTATTTAAGTTCTATAAGCAGCCGGCTAACATGATTAGCATTACTAAGTGAAAACGATGGGTGGTGTAGCCCCAGGAGAAGAAACTAGCTTGCTGTGGGTAACAGCGTTTCTTTAAAACATGCTTACTTTGGTAGCACACGAGCGTAGGGATGTTAAGTAATGAAACACAAAACGTGACGATCGCTGGAGTGACAAAAAAGCAGAAGCAGAATGGGAACTGTAATGACTTGCAATCGAGAGAAATGAACGTGGCCCAACAGGCGAGTTGATTTCTTGAGACAGTCTTTTAAACACCCACAGAGGGGTGCATTCCCAGCCCATAGGATGTTTGCATTTACGCCACTATGCACTCCCAGATGATTTCTGAAAGCTGATTATTGTGAGAGATGCTATATGGCTGCTGTAAAGGGCTGCAGTCAGCCACTATTAACTCAAAGTGAAACTAAGATTCAAAAGACTACCCTGATCCTCAAGAACAGCAGGAGCATACAGGCAGTGTCCTGACCTAGTCTGCATAGTTTGCAAAGTAAAATGCACGTTAAAGATCTCCCAAATCAAGTATCTGATTACTCTGTTTGACCTGAGGTGGTGAGCCTATGGCTGACCCATTTCAATCAATGAAATGTATGTTTACTGACCTTTAGTTAAAGGGTGTGGCTGAAGCTAAAGAGCCAGACATGTAAAATATCGGCATTTAACTGTACCACCAGCAAAAGGGAGAAACCTCGAGACTATGGCAAACTCTCTACTTTTAGGATAAAAATGATGTTAGTAAGGCTAAACTGCTCTATTAAAACCACTACCTGGGAGACCTTTCACAGATGATCTAAAGGCTTACAGACACTAAAAGACGCCAGACAGACCTGACCAGGATGCCAGACTAAAGGCAAGAGTGTAAAGACATACAACCAAAAAACAGATCATAGCCTTAAATCAAAGGCTGAGGACAGTAATACTGTACGTGAATAGTCTCATTCTGGAATAAATACTGTCAGTGGTTGACCACGACACACAGCCTTGAACAAGACCAGATGGAAGTTAGAAACCACTTCGGACAAGACACAGTCAATGACTTCACAGAGCAATGAGCAGCACGTGTCTCTTCATCCTTCTCCAGGCTGCATGCAGGCTTCTCCACTCCAAGCAGAGAAGACCAAGGGGGCCGGATGAGAGATTTATTTTTGAAACTTTTGTTTTTAACTCTTTTTTTGTTTTGTTTTGTTCTTTTTTTTTTTATCCAGGGTTCTGGAGGGCAGAGAAGGGAATGTAGCATCGAGTCTGGGATGAACAGGATGTCTTGAGTCAGGAAAGGAGGGAGGAGCCGGGGAGTCAACATGAAGACAGGTCCTTATGGAGAAGAGGGGGTTTGAAGTAATGGAAGGAGTGTTTCAGCGCTACAGAGACAGGGTGAGACAGAGACAAAAGAAAACATTTAGTTCAACCAAAAAAAAAAGAACTTTAAAAAGGTGAGGATAATTTATAAGGACCAACAGATCAATACAGATATTAAGGATCAGCAAATAAAGGCCACTGGTTTTAGAGAGATGAAAAACTTGATGGAAAAGCAAATGTTCCAAATATTAGTGAGTGCTTATTTGGTATTTTAAAACAAAACGATATAACATATTTAATATTGGTAATATAATCATATATATAGATAAAGTAGCTTAGTATAGATCATAATGTTTCTGTCTCTCACCGCCTGCGGGATGATTTAGAGTGTGAGCTTCGGGCCCTGCCAGACGCAGCCTGAGCTTTATTACCAGAGCCCTTACTAACATTAGTGTGTGATTCCTCCGCGGTTCTACTCATGGAAGTGGATGCTCTTTGTCTAGACTCTCTACAGATCCCTGTCATCCTGGTCCTACCAGGTGGATTTTGAGCAGAGAGAGATGTGGGGGTCAGGGCCCCTGAAGATTTAGCATTCATCTGAGAGGAAACCAAGTGTGACTGAGGCGTGTTACGACATGCAGCGGCTGCTTGTGCAGAATTAGACCTGTGAGCTGCGGGCTGTTTTCTTCTCACAGATATATCCAAATTTGGTATTAGATCAGGCTTTTGTTTATTTTCACTCCATGCTTCATATTTGTTAGGATACACACACAAAGCTTTGGAAGAGGTTAGATCACTGGATGAAGTGGACTTTAGCCTGCTGGACGAGGCAGCAGTAACGCGAGTTGTGATGAAGGTGTCCTGACGTGCAGGGGCTGAACCCCTACGGCCTGATGCAACCTTCTTTGAATCACTGACTTGTGTTTTGACCATTACTTCACTGTTCACTGATCTAGTGGAACGTTTACGTGTGAGGGAAAAGCCAGTATTCGACTCGGCATTGAAAAAATCACAGACACTACGACTTCTAATGAACGTGGCGTCTCGTGGCAGACCCTTGCCTCTATGTGGCTGGCTGCTTGCTGGGACGGGGTTGTCAGAACAAACAGAGAGAGGGGTTCTTACAGGGCTTGTGTGAAGACTTCGGGTTAGAGCTCGCAGGTGATGTGTGGCCATGGCAGGAACGCTGCTACCGAGAACCGGGCTAGCCCGTGGACTGCTCCTCAGTGTCGGCCGTGCAGGACTGCTTCGGGGGCTCCGAGGGGCCCTGCCTGACTTGGTGGCCAGTTCTTTGGCTCGGGAGCGGCGAGGGCTGCTGTTCAAGCTGTGGGGAGACAGAGGGGCCTCCAGATCCTCCAATCGCTGAGTAAGAGCCAGCTTCTGCTGGATGGCCATGCGCAGAAGAGAATTCAGTGTCTTCTTCTCATCCTCAGCCGCTGCCAGCTGCCTCTGCATCTCATCCAGCTGAGTGACATACTGGTCACACCTGAGAGATGCACACACAATGTAAAGATGCAACATGCACAAGCAGGGAGGAGCCCAGTAATGCACAAAGCCAGAGACACACAACACACATGCTTAAATTACTTTTAGTGGGGAAGGCACACATTAAAAACACCAGCTGTGACCAAACACTAGTACGGCAACTAAAGGTTATTTCTTCATGTCACAAATATTACAAAAACATTTAAAAGATGTCAAGGACAAAGTGATGTATTCACACTTGTTATATTTTCTGGATGACAAAATGTGTAAACATTTGAGAATCTGGTGCCAAACCTGATAAATAACTGTAGAAATAAATGTATGAACAATGAATCAATTTATGTTGATTGGTACTAATGACTCATTTGAGAGCTAGAACAAAGGGGGTGACAGATAAAGAGTTGAAAAATACTCCCTTGTAATTACATCCTGTAGAAATGCAGTTACTGCAGCTATCCACATGATGGCACCAGTAAACTTAACTATAAGCAGGGGATTTCAAAATGCTTTAGTCTTTAGCCTGTTGCAGCTGTAGTCCTTGACGTCTGTCTGTTATCCAATCCGTCTTAAGGATAATCAAATGCCAGCTCATAACTGTCTGGAGAGGGTCTACACAGGCTAATGCAGGATTCTCCGTCAGATAACAAACAAGAAAACCAACATTCCTGCTCAAAAACAAAACAATATTTACTTTACTTTGAAAAAACTTCTCTACAAACATGCTAACCGCTGCTCAGAAGAGGTTAGTGATTAGTGACCGTGAGTGAGGTATTAACCCTCAATAGCACCTTCTCACTCGATGTCATGTCCCACCCATCTCCCACCAACACTGGGCTCCTCCGTCCCAAAGGTGACCTGGCTTGATGCGACAAATCTGTCCTTGCCTCCTCCCCCATCGGCACAGGGCAAAGCATGTGGTTCGTAATCTTCATGTGAACCAGTGGATTGTCCACAGGCGTAATAAGCATGGTAAGCTTATTACATGCGTGGCAGCAAAAGCTGCACCACAACAAGAGCACCATTACTAAGCATGAAGAACACTGGCAGAGAGGCAGGGACCAGACGATCGGAGCTAATTGACATACTGTATTTCAGTTGAAAGAAAATTTTAATTGATCAAAAATCTCCTGTGTCACACCACAGGAAAAAAGAAATGCAAGTCCCTTTCTCTTTTATAACACTGCTGAACAGAACAGACATTAAAAAGGAAGTCTTACCGACTGGCAAACATGACTCGGAGTGAGGAGAAGGTGGCAGCGTCCTCCTTTAGGGCTTTGAGCTCATTCCGCAGCTTCATCATCGTCTCTGACACCATGCTCTTCTCTGTCTCATACTTAGTTTTCAGATTGGACAGGGCCAACTCTGCAGTCTACACGGACAGAAAATACCATTTTACATTAACCACAAGACAATATACCACCATCATTATATGACTCCATCAAGGTGGAGCGCACATTATCAGGAAGGATTTGTATAGATTAGAGCAAATATTTATATGATACCCATATTTTAATATGACATCATCTGACGGAGGAATTACTTTTGTAAATAACTAAGTAATAAAACAAGCTATGACCACCATCATTACTGTACCTACTTTCCTGTTCCCAGTGACCACAACATGTCAAGAGAAATCTTTAACAGACTTTGGAAGATCAATTAACAGTACAACAATGGTACTGTGAGTTGGACACATAGCTGAGACCTTGCTGAGGCCTGAGACCAGTTTGTCCTTCACAGTTTTCCTCTTTACATACCTGTGACTTTATAGAAAAGTCTCTTAAGACAATAAGTACATCACAGACACACACAGGGGGCCAACATAGTCCCAGAAACCAGACTGGAGAAGGTATGTGAGCATAGCAGTGCCAAACAGATTACCTTGTTTGTGTGTGCATGTGAGTAAAAGGGAGAGTGAAAGCTTAGGGAATGAAGCAGGTCATGCGGTGGACTGTACTCAAGGTGCAGAGCCATGTGAGCCCAAGGGACTGTCTAGACAAGGCACTGAAGAGACAGGTCAACCATACTGTTCATGTCAATACTATGCATAGATAATGCTGAAGAAAGACTTGCACTCACACATTATAAAATAATGATTATTCCAGCCACTTTCTTTCAGCAGGCATCAGAAGGGAGGTTGCATTTCACAATAAACAAGCTCCATTTACCAAATGACCAAGGCCACTCAGTAAAAAATAGACATGTGGGAAAGCTTGTTTTAGCGGGAATCCGAACATTGACCGTGGACATTTGAGGACAGTGTTTCAAGGATAAGTCCTTGACAGGTCCTTGACAGGTCCTTGACAGCAATAAACTCAAATGGAAAACTACTTAGACATAAAATATATTGAAGCAGACAGAATGCGAAGATTTTAGCCAAGCCAGTGTCTTACTGTGTCCTACCTGTTTGTTAGCCTTGAGGACAGTCCTGAGCGTAGCTATCTGTTCCCTCTTGGTGCTGAGAAGGGACTTGAGTTTTAGAACTTCCTCCAAGAGGCTCTCAGCATCCCGCTCTGACTCTCCACTGATGCTGAGCCCTGAGTAAGGCATCGCTCCCCTCTGACGACAGAGGTCAACCGCCACCTGAGGAAACAGAATTCATGAAATATGGTTAAATTAATCTTTTTTGCTTTGTTATATTTTCAGCAAAGGAAACATTTAGTTTTATACATTTCTCAGCAAAATAAAGGCTTATTAATAATATGCACATGAAATTCATCCTCAGAAATTACGATACAAGGGCATCTATATGTGTTTTAGGATGTGCCTCACAACATTAAAACCGGAATTTTCTGAAAGGATTTTCTGTAGTAAAGCCACAACTTTGACCGCTGATAATCCAATCCATTCACACACACACACACACACACAGTCTTACAGCAGGCAATGGATTTGTACAGACATGGCAGCTACTGAGCTAACAGTCTGAGCTGAGCATTAAGTTCAGTGAGAAATTTGAGCAGGAGGAAAAGCACCCAGAAGAAAATAGGTTTTTGATTATCAGGATACAAAAACTATAACTTTCCCAAACATCCAAGTAATGGTTCAGTAGCACTATAACAAAAGACTGTGACAAGCGGTACTGTCTTACCCGGAGGTGTTTGATCTGACAACGGATGACCGCTACCAAGTTGCGAACGTTAGAAGGGTCCCTGAAATCCAGGGTGGGCGACCCAGGGCAATTAGGAGATTCTGCACTGGCTCCTGCACTGTCCACCTCACCCATGAACTGCAATGCTGCAGCTTTGGAGATGAACATTTCATTGGGCCGAGGCTTCTTCTGGGCATTGTGCTGGGGGTAGACATTGTGTGCTCTTCTTGCACTACTTGCTGCGCCACTCGCTCTGGCACCATCACGGTAATAGTCCAGGGTGACTCGCTTGGGTGTCAGGTTGTTGCACACACAGATGTGGTGATAGAGGTTGGACAGCTCCTCAGAGAAGGCCAGCAGCTCTTCCTGGGCAACGCTTAAATGCCCTTCTGAATCTATCGCCACTTTCCGTGTGGCTCCAATCTCCTTCTCCAGCTCACTGATGCGCTCCTGGTCCTGTTTACTAGACTTGATGCATTGACGGATCTTGTCAGCCAGCTCCTGGGCCTCTGCCCTCCAGCGATCCTTCTCCTGCTTGTATCGCTGCTCTAGAGTGTTATAACGAGTACCTGCCTGAGACAGTTCATCTCGCACCTTCAGAAGCTCTTCGCTGGCTGAACGCATGCGTGCCTCCAGCACCTCCTTGCTCTTGGTGTCTACCTCGTAGTCAAAGACACCATTGCCACCTTCTCCAATCTCTGCGTCATCCTCTCCCCTGTCTTCTGCCTCCTGGTGGTGCTGCTGGCTGCTCTGCACAGCCTCCAGCTGTTGGGTGAGGGAGCCAACCTTGTCCTCTTGCTGACTGAGCGCCTGTCGGGACATTACCAGCTGCATCTGCAGCTCCTCCACTTTGCTGGACAGTGTGGACTTCTCTCGTTCAGCCTGAGTGTACGCAAGATTAAATTCTTGTGAGATATGAACATGCAGTATACAGTATAACATCTGACTATGAATTTTATTTGTCAATTAACTGAGTAATCATCTATTTCGGTTATAAATAAATAAATAATTCAGCATAATACTGAATTGTGAGCATTATACACAAAGACATTCTCTATCACAAAAATTTCTCCCCCAACCAACTCTACTCCATGCATTTTTAATGGATGACCCCATTCCACTTCACACTCCTAACATCTGGTTCATAGGGCTACCCAACCCCCGGTTTAAGTGCATCATGAATTATAGATTTCCTTCATACAGAGAGGGTTGACAGTTCAAGACCTCCTTAATTTTCCTAAGCACCCTTAACTTGTAAAGCACAACTGTATCAGGTGGGAGTTGACTTAATTATTTGGTGAAGTAGACTCTAGTAGATCTTTGTTGATATAGACAGGCCGACACATCCCACCACGGATGTGGTCGAGAGCAGGAAGCACTTGACATTTGAGTCAACAGTTTAGTCATGAACTAATCTGTAGGAACCTCACTGTGTACATTTTAAATAGTCTGGTTAGAGCAGGTATTTAGATCTACACATGAAGGTGGCAAACACTTTGATCAACAATGTGATCCTTGTTAATGAGTACATTGTGTACAGGCTATATACATAGTAGTAGATTACCATTATGCAGTAGCCATTTTGTGCCAATACATCACTGCCTGAGGCTCTTAAATTATTCTCTAACTACTACATAAAAATTATTTAAATCATATTAACATAAATATACATAGGCAGGTTGCCATGAGAAACTCAGACTAAAAGGGAAATAAAACCATTTTATCTTTTTTTTTTTAAATCATATGTAAACTTTGCTTTTTCATTGTTTGATCATATAAATAAACATGTCATGTCACCTACCTGTAGGAGTTGCTGTTTCAGTTTCTGACTGTCTGAGAAGTGTAGCTCACTCAGTAGGTCCGACACCAGCCCAGAAGCTGGAGCACGCAGGAACACATCACTGGTGCGCGGAGTAGAGCAGCAATGGATGAGGCCATTACTTTTGGAGCCCCCCAAGTGAGGAGGGTGAGCAGAACTGGGAGCAGACCCAGGACCATTGTTATAGCCGCTGTCCTGGTCCTCTCCCCCGCCCTCTCCTACTCCCTCTCCCCCCTGGCCACGCTCCTGGCTGTCATCCAGCTGCTCCAAGTGGAGCTCCAGGTTCCCCACAGCATCAAAGGGGTGAAGGGTCAGGGAGGAGAGCTCTCGCCGCAGACTGTTCTTCTGCTCCCTCTCCTCCTTCAGGGCTTCCAGAGCCTCATCCAGCTGCATCTCTGCTATCTCCCTCAGCCTCCCTGCCTCCTCCAGCTGAGCTCGCAACTCATCCTGCTCCTCGTTCTTCTGGGTCAGCTCCAGCTTTATTGATTCGAACTCAACCTGAAAAGTGATTAAAAAAAAAAAAAAACGTGAAAGTGTTACAGCCACATACCTAGAGGCTTGCGTAGACAAATGGTAACAAGGGAAATTATAATTGGTGGTGATGATTTAATGATCAGTACCGATTATGATTCACATTGTTAATCATATGCACACTATAAAAAAACAGGTGAACAAAATATCCATGCTGGTCGAGTGCACAGCCCTACACAATAACACACAAATGCTAAATGTTACTGAATGTAAAGTCGACTCACAAGTTCTTAGTTCAGTTGGCTTTAACCTTGGGGCAATTATATAAAAATAAAAGTATAGATTTTTAAAATAAGATCAACATGTAACATTAAAACTATTGGAATATGACTGACAGTACTCAAGGCCATTTGGGCTTTTCATCTAAAACAAAACCTTTTATTATTTTCAACACCAGAGACTGTGATGTATATACATCATGTAGCAGGTCATGAACATATAAACAAGCATCTGCTATATCTTGATCTAGTCATGGACAATTTGTCTTGGCAAAGCTTCAGTATACACAGAAGGTCCTACTGCACTTGGCAGCGTTTGTCTCACACCCTCAGGACTCCAACCAATGACCAAACAGAGACAGCTTCACATTACTTTCATATAACCACACAAATACTTACCCTTGAGGAGCATTTTGAGCACAGAGTTGTTTATAATTCCCTGACTATAGAAATGTATCATAAATTCTGTCTTTTACGATTACCTTGAATTTGTTTAATTCCACAAATATCGAACCCACCTTTTATTCTAAGATTAAAGTTGCCTGTTAAAATTAATATAACCCATTAATAGTCATTGGAAACGTATCTGATCCCCATTAGTTACTGACTATTTCACTATTTCTCACGACAGACTGCCATCAGGTTATACATCTTTGTCACACAAAACTATTTCCTAAAGCAATCTCAACATCTCGCAATAATCTGAGATTCATAAAATGACTGATTGCCACAGTGCTACTTCCAACTATAAACATTTAGTTTCAGGAGCATATTGCCAAGGAACTGCTTGTGCATGCCAACTAGTTCTCAAGGGAGGCAGCCATACTGGGAATTAACTGAGAAATGGAAAAAGCATTCTCTTTAAACAATGGCCATTCTCAGTCTCCCATTTGTAACCTGGTTGTTAAGTTTTGTCAACAAACATATCAGAGTTTGCAGAGCATGCACGGCAGTCCCAGAAAGGTCATGACTCTATCAGTGACAACTGTTGTTGTGCACTACAACAATGGCCTGATAGAGTCTCAACAACCACCTGAATGTGCTTCACTAGCACTAAAGTATAAAACTAAAACAATCTTTGTAGATTAATGAAGAAACAACACTGCATGTTCATAGAATACTGAAACATTCCTAATTTCATTACATTTTTCTGGACAGCAACATTTTTTGAATATTAAACCCCCTCTTCCATTGACAGTTAAAGTTAGCAGGTAGAACTTAAATCTAATGAGTAATGCAAATCTAATAACTGACCTGGTTTTCTTTCAGCACAGACACCTGTTTTTGCAGAGATATGTTTTCTTCTTCAAGCTCGCCATTGTCCTGCAACTGGCGTAGCTCACGTACTTTATATTCCTTCATCTCATCCCTCAGATGGCCCTTCTCTGCCTCCAGACACTCACACTCCTGTAAAACATAATCCAACGTCAAATCAGTGAAAAACACCAGATGTTAACCACATTCTTACCAAATTCATGTCATGCACTGTTCATTACACAGTGGGAATGAGACCCCACAACCAGTGATTCAGGGGCTCACTCTGAAGTTGTCATGAAGTGATGGGACATGATAGAATAAAGTAAAATACCAACATACTGGTGAACATACAGAGTACATCATACCTTCTTTAACTGGGTGGAGACTACCCCCAATCTATCGATCTCTGCATGTGCATTGCCCAGAGCCAGGCGGGATTGCTTGAGCTCTGCTTGAACTTCCTCCATGCGGGTTGCCATGGCAGCCTCCTTACTGGCAGTCTCCTGCAGGAGATTTTCCTCCCGGCATTCTCCATCAGCAGCTGCACGCTTCTGGCTGCTCAAAGAATCCGCAAATGCCTTAACAAAAACAAAAAGGGTTTAGGGAAAGGGCAAAGTGTGTAGAGTCTGGCAGGCTACAGCATTTTACACACACTGGAACGTTCATGGTGCTTAAAGACAAAAGCAGATGTGCTACTCTTATCAAAACCATGAGTGACGGCATCTTTAACAAAGGACAGGAAATAGGATTTCCCTGACAACCATTAACTGTAATCCAACCAGTGAGGGAAAAGCTGTTAAGGTTCGGTAACAAGACACCGTAACAGCAGCTTCCACAAGCATTTTTAATCGAGCCAATGTGATCATGTGAGCCTTGTGCATTGTACTGGCACCGTAGTAACATGCATTTCTTCCCAGCTTTCCGTAATTAGCAACCGTGACACATTATGCACCAATGACTATTAAAGAAAAAAAACCTATCATATAAGGTGTTAAATGAAATAAACGTGCTAATAAACACGCTCAGCTGAACATCGTGGTTCATTTATATAATGATTATAATTTACAACACATGAGTCTGCTTTGTTAACCCCCAGCCAAAGTCTAGTAAGGTGAACAGCCAAGAAATTAGCCTTATGCAGATTATAAAAATAACTGAAATTCTGTACCACTATGTCCCGTCAGACCTAAAGAGCTTTGCTTGATAGTTGCAGTTATAAAACATTGGGATGCACCGATTTTTGTCACTTCTGTTTCAGATAAATGTCCAACTACCCATAAGCAGGGTTTTTTAGGTCTCCTAATTTAAATAGGTAGATGAAACAACTGCAAAATGGAATTTAATTTCATGGGTTTACCTTCTTACATAAACCAGTTTTAAAAATCCTGTCTGTTCCAACAATACCAAATACTTCCAAGGCTCGTCTGGTGTATTCCGAGACATTAACATCATACACAACGAGAGCACAGGGGAAGGGGCAGTTTAAAAAAGACAAGCACATTGTTTGTTTAAAAGATTAAGGAAATAAGAGGCATATGCCATAATTCATAATACATCTGTGAGAGGGCATGTATTTCATGATAATCTGAGATTTGACATATTGGTCTAATCTTTTTATCTTGGTGATCCTGTGCTAACCTAATTCAAACCTAAATACTCTGCAGTTAAGTATCAAAGTTAAAGGTGAACAGCAAAAAGGCAGCATGTTAAAAGATATCCTCATCACTTCAACAGCCTTTGCAACACTATACTATGACATCATAACTGTATAACAGCTGTTACGTTAACAGCAGATGAACAGTTGCCATAAAAAGAACTGAAGGGATGGGCAATCAAATTTATGTCATAACTCACTGGTAGATATATTAAATTAAATACCATTCATCTATTCCTTATGCAGATTTCAATAACCAGACTTTGCATTTGTGCCGACACAGAGTACGTATCTGATACCACTTCATTTAAATAAATAACTTGTATAACATACTTAAACAGTTGTATGCTACTAACTCTGTATGTATGTAAGTATTGCATAGGGTACACGTCGCTGTTTTACTTGTGGCACTTTCCGGCGTGATATATATATTACCAAACTGCTGACATTTTAGCCAGCTCTAGCTAATGCTACTTCAATGGAAACTTTTAATTTGCCCCTCTATGAACAGAACTTGCCAGTGGCGTAACAGCACGGCTTTTGTTTTGGAGCACTGAAGAAAAGGTGATTTCGGGGATGAGAAACTTCCAGTTTTATCTGGGGGAAACTACTATACTTTAAAGATGTGTTGTCACATCTGTACATAGATTTGCATACTCACAGATGCCTGACCTAACATTTCCGGCAGTGACGGAGGCATTTCCGATGCTGGTATCGTAACATGTCTGAATATAATATACTTCAAAATCTTAGATGAAAAAAAATCTAAACTGAATTTGTGCATGGTGTCCTGGGGTGTTCCTACCTCTCTGAGCTGCTGTAGCTCCCCTTTAAGGGCTTCGTGCTCCTCTTCCAGTTGCCTGTGTTTCGTCTTGAGAGCAGCACTTTCCTCCAGCACCACCAGGCCATAGCGGGCGGCCTGTAGCTTCTCCTCCGTGGCCTCCTGGAGCTCCAGAGACAGCCGCACCACCTCAGTCTTCAAGTCTCCGCTCCCCATCTCTGCCTCCTCTTCTAACTCCACTGCTGCTCCTGCTGGGTCTGCATCCGCCTCAAGCATCCTTGCACGGCCTCCCACTTAACTGCCAATGTTCTACTGGGACACCTGCCTCCTTCACTCGTCCACTCTCATTACTCCGAACTAGAGAAACAAAACACAAAGATGGTGGTTATGTAAACTTCTTAGAAAAAAGGCCAGGATGGCAAAGCGGTTTTGTATGAATCTTATTGTGAGACCAACTAAGCAAACTGCCTGAGGCAAGATTAATTCTGGGATTTGTTGTGTGGGAAAGCCCTTCTAATTATGCTAAAAAGACCAAATAGCAACAATGCAAATCCAAGCCACAAATTACCTAAATGATACAGTGTGCAAATTTATATTACCTGTAAACACCTGCTAGCCATGTTGCTTTTATTTGATATATTTAGTTACTGATTACTCTCTAGATTTATAGCATGTGATAAGGCGGCAGCATCGGAGCCTCTAAAAAACGAAACTGGCTGAACTTCTGGAATCAATAAAGTAAGCATACATTTATCTATCCATTGTTGTATTCTCTCCATTGTTGTATCTCTCCATTATTGTTTCTCTCCATTGTTGTATCTCTCTATCCATCAATCTGACGACAATGATGTTATTGTGAACAAACAGATAAAGACACAGCTTCACAGGCTACCCAGCAGTATATGAAGTACTTACAGTTGGATCCACATTTAAGTGGAGTAATATACACAGGAATACGTAAGTATTTATGATCCAATAATGTAATGTACACTGCTCTGGAATGGGCACATTCTGCACAATGAATTCGTTCACTATTGGTATTTTTACCTTTAACAAAGTCTGATGATCATACAATAGTTGTCTGAACTGTTATGCTGCTACTTTTACATCTGAATGCTTATTTCCCAGCTGGTTAAAACCCCTAATAACTTATAAGAAGCATATGACTGATGATTCCTCGCCCCACCACAGTTACCACGCTGTTGCTTTTCAGCATCAGCACCGTAACATCCATCAGTGAAGGCAGACAGTCTCTGCAGTGTGTCTGTGTCTTCCACAAACCGGCCGTGGGATTAATATTGATGAGTGTGACCACTCGTGTGGACTAGGTGGGGCAGAGCCGGGGCCACATCTCCTCACGTCCTCTCCTCTGACCGAACATGGAAACAACAGCAGCGGCAGCAGTCGCCGGTTGTCCCGGTGCCAAACGATGTGTCCCGTGCGCATCTGTCACCCTCCTCTCCCACCACCAACTCATTCATTAACATCAAATAATGGTGCATTAAAGGCTGAATCACACTTTAAAGAAAGCTACTGTCCACCTTAGCCCACCAGAGCAGGCTGCTGTCCCCGAAGGTGAAGCGCATAAGGACGGGGATAAGGATTCAAACGTGGCCCGAAATCAGCTAACGCGAGTAGCTTTAGCATCACCGCGACCGACACCACGGTGCCACTAAGCAACGTCGAGCTGAATACTGTGGGTAAATAGCTAGTTAGCTTTGCAATTAGCCACATTTAAACAGGCCTAGCGGTGAAGACGACATACGAGACCGGACACAGAGGGGACGTTCTCCGGTCGGATCCCGTCAGAGAAGCTAATTAGCTAACAGCTACATAGCCGGCGACTCACCGTCTGGTCGTGTCTCAAAGATGGTGCTCGAGCGGCCGCCATCAGGCGTTAATACCGCACATCCTCCGGGAGCTGTCAGGGGCGACGGCTGCTGATCACGCTGGTAGTCCGGGTGAGTGTCTGCCGAACAGCCGCTTCCTTTCCTCCCACCCACCGGTTCTTCTCGGGTTTCTCCGGGAGGTCGAGTGTCAAAAGCGCGCCGAAAGCCTGACGGCGCTTCTGCTCCCTCTAGCTCGGCTCCAGAGAAATGCAGCCGCAGCAAATGTGATCATATTCTGTTATTTACCGGGTGGAGCGTCTACTGTTGGTTAACACGTATAAAATAAACACTAATTTAACTAATAAAAAATATATATTATACCAACAAACGCTAAATAGGAGATAAAAAAACGAGTGAACATTTCGACTTGTGCGCGTACATCCCACGACTTCCGGTTTACTTCCGCACACACTTCTTGCACATCTCAGTGAAACCGCTGCAGATTTCCAAGATGAAGATCGTCACATGGAATATAAACGGGATCAGGACTTTCAGAGGAGGAATCAAACAGGCTCTGGATGCTCTGGACGCAGATATCGTCTGTGTTCAGGAGACTAAAGTCACAAGTAAGTGTTTCACCCCGAGCAGACGCAGCCGCCATGGCTCCACGCGTGTGTCTGTGATGGAAGTTTTAATAACACAGGTCCCTCCGCTCCACAGGAGACCTGCTGGATGAGAGGAGCGCCATCGTTGACGGCTACAACTCTTACTTCAGCTACAGTCGAGCACGCAGCGGATATTCAGGTTAATTACAGAGTCATAACAAGTGATTTTATGATAACGAGTCCTCACAGTTGTCCCAATGTTGACGTGTCTTACAGCAAACTTGCAGCGTTGGTTAAAAACAGTGGCGTGTTTTGGGATGTTATCCTCATTTTTGGACAAGTCGACATGACAATCTTCTGTTAAAGGTCCAGTGTGTAAGATTTAGGAGAAAGGGAACTATTGGCAGAAATTTTATGTAGAATAATCCTCATGATGTTTTCACTAGTTCGTTTCATCTAAATTGTATGAATTGTAGTTTTCTTTACTCTAGAAAAGGACTTTTACATTTACATCGAGGGGACCCTCTCTACGGAGGTCGCCATGTTTTTTACATTGGTCCAGACTGGACAAACTAAACACCTTTGGAGTTTGTATGACGATTTGGAAGGAGAGGGTGAGGTGAGGGGTGTTCAGCTGCAACATGCAATTTCAACACTAGATATCACGGAATTCTACACACTGTACCTTAACTTACTTTATCAATCTCTATTTAAGTTCAGATAAAATAAGATAATCCTTTATTTGCAGCCTCAGTCCAAAATAGGAAACAGTAAGTAATAATAAGTAACATGCAATACTTAAGTGTAAGGAAATATCAAAAATATGAATGGAATAAAAAGTAATACATATACAGTGTAAAAAATAAAAAAAAACTGCACATACAGTATCGTATTACTCCATCATGCAAACTAACTCACCTCCCATGCATGATGTGCACAGGCGTTGCCACTTATTGTAAGGACAGTGCCACTCCCTTTGCTGCTGAGGAGGGTCTCACAGGTCTGCTGACCAGCCACGAAGGGGCTGTGGGATGCTACGGTGACCACACTGAGTTTTCGACTGAGGAGCTGCCGCTGTTGGACAATGAAGGACGAGCGATCATCACACAGCACAGGATCATGTATGGGAGATTCTATAGTGCCTCTACTGTCTTCTGTCACAGTTCCTATATTAGCTGTAGTTGTCTACACTGTTTCTGTTGTAAGCCTTGTTTCCCCCCCCCCAGGTGTCAGGACAAAGTGCAAACTGTTACTCTCATCAACGTGTACTGTCCACGGGCTGATCCTGAAAAGCCAGAGCGAAAACAATTCAAACTGCAGTTCTACAAGCTGCTTCAGTGTCGGGCTGAAGCTATACTGAAAGATGGCAGGTGAGCGTATATGTATACGTTGATGTTTGAATTATATCAGCCATGATTACATCAGCCCAATGAAAAAAAACAGAAGTAGCACAGGACAGTTCCATAGATTACAATAATTTATTCTTAATGACAAATAGAATGGACAAGTTATCATAAAAATTGATTAATCTTTATCTATCATATTAAACAATGTACAAAAGGACCAAACAAAAGTTTTTTTTCTCTGTTGTTTACTTTTTCAGCCATGTGATTGTTGTAGGAGATGTAAATACATCTCACCGGCCGATAGACCACTGTGATCCCAGCGATATTGTAAGTATACGTTTGAATGATGGGGTTTTTTTTCATCATAATAAAAATAATTATTAATGTACTTTGTGTTTGTCTTCTCTTAGGAGGATTTTGGTGAGAATCCCAGCAGGAAATGGCTGAATGGTTTCCTGCAGAGTGGCAAACAAGAGGCAAACAGGAACGGGGAGGAACTCGATGAAGAATCGGAGGTTACTCCAACAGATCCCGCCCCCGGAGGAAAATTTGTGGATACGTTCCGCTATTTCCACCCAGCTCGAACAAACGCCTTCACGTGCTGGTCCACGCTCACTGGCGCGAGGCAGACCAACTATGGAACCCGCATCGATTATATATTCGCTGATTGCCAGCTCGCCATGGAACAGTTTGTGACCGCGGACATCATGCCAGAGGTGGAGGGGTCAGACCACTGCCCTGTGTGGGGGCAACTGAGCTGCCCTCTCTTGCCCAACTCTAAGCCTCCTCCCCTCTCTACTCGCTACTTGCCAGAGTTTGCCGGCAAGCAGCAGAAACTCTCACGCTTCCTTGTTAAGGTTGATCCAAAGTCAGCTCGGTCTGAGCAGAGGGATGTTTTACCTGGATCTCAGGAGGAGGGGGAAAAGAGGGAGAATTTTAACCCATTGGGAGCAGGAAATGTCTCTGGTAAAAAAAGGGTATTAACATCAGATCCTGTTGTCCCAAGAGGGAAAAAGACAAAGACAGTTAAGACTAATTCAAAGCCACAAGGCAGCCTCTTTTCCTTTTTCAAACCTAAACCCACGAATGTTGTGCCCCCTGCTGAAGCCCCTTTGAGACAGTGTGAAAAACTTCTCAGCCTGGATAATACCTCAACACAAAACTCACAGAAAGACTCCACAACCAGAGAAAATGTCTCCTCAGTCACAGACAGAGTTCCTGAAGATACAGAGACAGTGACTAATCATTCCCGACAGACGTGCACCAGCAGCAGCGCAGAGAAATGTGACAAACAGGTGAAGACAAAACATTCAATCGCCCAGCCCACGGTGGGACACTCAGGAGCCAACAAAGGAGCATCATCTGTGTTTTGGAAGTCAGTTCTTCACGGACCACCTCCACCCCCCTCCTGCAAGGTCCATGGGGAACCCTGTGTGCTGCGTACTGTAAAGAAGGAGGGGCCAAACATGGGCAAACAGTTCTTTGTGTGTGCACGTCCTCAGGGCCATGCCTCCAACCAGGAGGCTAGATGTAATTTCTTTGCGTGGGTTGACAAGGGAAAGTGACATGTTTACTTCCTGGACCTAAGGGGAATTTTTCTGCCACAGCAGTAAAACCTCTAGTTCAAATAATTACTGAAAGATTATTACACGGATGTCTTGTCATTTCATAGATTTTAATTGTTGACTGTTTTTTAAATAATAAAAGAGAGTTGTTTTCTAGCACTTTGAGTTTGTATTTATTGATTCTCAGAGCTGAAACTATTTTATTATCGGTGCTAAGTTATACATTGAGCACCTGTTTGGTCGATTTGGGAGCAAGAACAAAAACTACTAAAACGCTTGGGCTTGAGAGGAACCCATTGCACTTTGTTGTGGTTGCGGATTAATCCAGGTTTTTTCTTTTCACTTACTTTAAGATTGCAATAGAGGTCTTTTTTTTTTATCATTTTTTATATTTTTCCAGAGAAAAATGCACAAATCCTTTTTTTCTTTCTCTACAATGAGAACTAGACAGTTGGGCAAAGGGTTTTTTTGGGCCTGGACAGTGTTTCGTTATCTACAATTAAAAATTGCATGTCTTGGAGTTTGAGGCTGTTGGTAGATATTAAACTTTTTCGGGCTTTAAAGGACTTCTAGATAAATCAGTTGACTGTGATTAATGAATCCAATTGTCATGTGCAGCTCTACTTGAGCTCATTGCATGATACTGCTCCACATTATATAGCTTGTGATTGTCCAAGACGATCTGCAGTGGGGATTGTGAAGTTTGACCACTAGATGGAGATGATAGTGAGCTGATGACACAAAGCTGAAGCACAGACCAAGTAACTTTCCACAGCATCACATTTTATTGACACAACCAGCTGCACAGCCACAGAATAACCACTGTGATGTAGGCCAGTTGGCAGAGTATTTTAATCTGGAGGTACTTTCCTCCCACCCAACGGTTCTTCTAGTTTATATTTCTTTAGGTTTATATTACATGTGAAAGACTGTTCGACTATCACCCCTCAAAAAAGTTCTGGCAGTGTCCAGCTGCAGTATTTCATAAAGTACCAGAACCCCACACATGGCCTAATCATTCAGGAGGAACAGGGAGGGGCTTTGCTTCTGACATGCAGAACATGCAGAAGGACATTTTTTTGCGCGCGCAATTGAATACCTCCTTCCTTCCCCCCATTTTTCTCTGTCCTTTCACGGATGCAAAAAACCCCATGACTCTGTAAAAGGCAGGTTTGGGACATGAATCAGCTAACAAGCTTTTAACATTAACCCTGCTACCGCTGTCAAGACTGAAGACAACCATCTGTCAGGCTATTAGAGGGGTGAGTTCAAGATAAACCCTGTGGGGCATCACTCTGCATCTGTATTTGTGCCACAATACGATTCCCTACTCACACAGATACTGTCTTTACCTCTGATAATGTACTATACATTGACGGCTCATTTCCTTACACTTAAACTATATGTGTTCTCATTTGTACCCTGTGCTGTTACTGACATGCTGGCAGTATGAATAGCACAGAGGTTGGATTTTATAAATGACTCACTGAAATGGGATATCATCTTGGCTGAAATTTGCTGGCATACTGTTTGGTACAAGTATAAAGTGTTTGATGCGTGGGGTTTTTTGGATATAAAGTCTGTATTTCCACACACGTGTGCTATGTTACATAGGTGTTGGTTAAATTGTCCTGGCTTTTCATTCAAATCACTCTATTTAGTGACTACAAGTCACTGAAGTCATTTGAGGCAACCTCTCTCTTTTCTTTATTCAAATTCATCCCCATCTGCACAGGTCTCAATTGTGATATTTTGCCTGAAAACTGTTTTCCTTTTATTACTATGCAATAAGCCTTATTCAAGAAATTTGAAAAAAAAAAAAAGAGCTGCCACCGGTGTGTACAATCCATAATGTGAGATATTTGTACAACAGAAAGACACATTTCCAGTAATTAATTGTGTCTGGGTTAGATAAAGAACGTGGGAGTTTCTCGGGTGAGCAGGCAAAACCCATATCTCAGTTACGTTGAACTTTATCAATCAACTGAAATGTCGCTGAGAAGTGGATGACATTTGAGGTTTGAGGTCCACGTCACAGACTGAGCCCATGTTTTTGTTGTATGCAGGAAGCATGATTTACTGCACAGCATCTCCTTATATGATGTTTAAACATGGAAATGTCTGCTGTTATGGATGAAATAAAACACCCTACTGGACTTTAAGGATCTTTTTCATGTGTCACATGTGTTGCATGACACGTCCATTTCTGCTGTTACACGTCAGCTCAGCTTTGTTTTGGATCAGGCACATGATGACTTGTGAGCACGCACCATGTTTCCACTCCTGAGCACAATCACATGTTGGCAATCTTAAAAAAGCACTTATCTCCTAAGCTAATTACCATCACTGTGACTTCCAGCAGGATGCAAACTGTCAGTGACTATCCGCCCATGGTGAGACAAAAGCCCACCTTGGAGACAAATTCTGCCCCTTCTTTTTACTCACATATTCTGCACTGACATGGTGATTAGTCTCCAGCATGAAAATCAGAGTCCATGTTAATTTCCAGAGTTCCTGGTTTAACCTGTAGCCTTGAACTGCAGACTGTCTGGAAACTAGAAGCAATTCATTCCCATTGTTTGAGTTCCATTGTTGACACCTCCACAGTGCAGACACCTGGTGAGCAGATCCCTACTGTGTCTTTGTAACTGAATCTACCTGTAACTGGTTGAACAAAGGGTTAAGTATGGGTGTTCCCATTTCCCTCTTACTCCCTCCCAGCCTGTAATCTCTCTCACTCTCTCCCCTCTCCACTACCAAGGAGCTTTGAAGAGACTCCCTAAGAGCTAAGCTGCACATTAACTTTGAGACTGAAAACTGAGCCAAATTGACACGAGGAATTACTATTTCGATATCCAGAAAAGGCAGCTGGGCTAAAAGGTAAGTTGCTCAAAATGATGTGTGTGTGTCTTTGAGTTTCAGATGTTGAGGAAGAGAAGGGTAGGGCTAACTGTCAATAGTAAGCTGGTCTTGCGTCAGACAAGAACCATGTGGTGTGTAGTGCTGGATAGTAAGGCTGCAATAATCTCTACTATGTTTCACTGAACATGTGTTGTTCATTGATTACGGTTAATCAATGGATTGTTTCAGTATAAAAATACATTTTAATTACAACACATTTGAAACTGCATCTGGGGGAGGTTGTTGGTTTAAAAAAAAAAAAAAGGTTGTAGCCTATAAACTGATGGAAAATACAGGAGTACTTTTTGGTTTAAATTACATCTTTATTGCCACTCTCAACTGTTTCCACTAAGCTATACCCTGTGGCCAATGTAATGTCTTATGTGGAACAAGTTTTCAGTTTACTTGGTTTGTCAAGTTTCTCCAGCTTCCCCCTCCCCATTTAAAATGCAAAGCAGGCCCTGTTGTAAAAATCTACCTTTTCCAATGTGAGGGAGGTGAAGAAACTGCCGAGCCGTGTCTTCTTGTGAAACTTAAAGTGGAACATGTTGCTGACGTTTAGTCCAAATGCTTTGTTGCTTGAGTGTGTTGGCCACGAGCCATGGGAAAGTAATTGGTTTCGTAGCTGAAGAAAGTTACTCGAACAAAACTTGACCTGAGGCCATTATGCAGGCAAAGGACAACTCTGTATTTACACTAAATAGCAACATTTACACAGGAAGCCTTTGTTTGTCTCTCTGAGCCACTGCTATCAAGCAAAAAGTTGTTTGGATTGTTCAGCGACAAGCGTAGGATAGGGGGGGAACAATTCCAATTTTGTGTAAAAAATGACTGTCTCTTTAGGGGTCAGATGTGAAAACCCTGAGGGCACCCAGACCCACAGAGAAGGGAAGTATCCCATGACCCCTGTGGCAGGAGCGCAGACCTACGCTCATTCCCAGAGCACATCCATGCCAGCTTTGTGTGGCCCACAGTAGATTAGAGCAACATAAGTCCTCTGACAACATTTGTTACTTGAAGCCCTTCATATCACACAAGCGGACACATCCCAAGCAAACGTGTCAAATCTTCTCTAGAATATTATTTTGTAATCCAGAAGTTCTTTTTTTTATCCTCATATCTGAATTAGGGAGGAGAACTCCAAAATAAACCCGTGGCAAAGGAATTTTTGCATCGCCAAAAGAAAAGAACATCATGAATCCAAGATTCATGTTGTCTTTGGCAAGTGGGAGAAATTACAGTGGTGTGTCTCCAGACTTTAACGGCCTGCCATTTTGAAGCTACAAAGCATTTTCTGTTTGTATTATAGGCTACTAGTCGTATTCAATGTTTCTTGGGTGCTGTGGCTTTCCTCAAATAGGCTTTGTTTACCTTTAAATGGCTGAGGAGTTTTAAATACCTTTGCCAGTCTGTTATATAAAGCCATATTTATTGTCCTGGAGACCAGAGGCCATCCTGGGTCAGATCTGGTCCCGACAGGGACAAGTTAATATTTCAAAGCCCATCAGCTTCAAAGCCAATGACTTTCATGTTGTCTTTGGTATGTGGGAGAAATTACAGTGATGTGTCTCCAGACTTTAAAGGCCTGCCATATATAAGCTTCAGAGCATTTTCTGTTGTATTATAGGCTACTACTTGTATTCAGTGTTTCTTTAGTGCTGTGGCTTTCCTCAAATAGGCTTTACCTTGAGGAGTTTGAGAAGTTAGAAATACATTTGCCAGTGCGTTATATAAATCCATATTTATTGTCCTAGAGACGAGAGGCCGTTGTGAGCCAGATCTGGTCCCAACAGTGACAAGTTGATATTTCAGAAAAGGTTTCTTTTTTCACAAATAATGGAATGTTTGATATCAAACCCTCTCGTTGCACAAATAATGGCCGAATTTGCAGCAGATTTCGATAAGCATGTATTTCGCAAATTCAAATTGTTGTCTCTTTTCTTCCAGAAAATTTTACAGCGAAATCTTTCAATCAGGCAAACTTGAATCTTTAAAGTCTCTCAAGCAACAACCTCATTAACAACGAAAACAATGGAGCTTCAGAAGATGAATGGACACAGCAGGGAAGAAGGGTAAGACTCATAAACAAACCGTATAGATCATATCACAGTTGAAGTGTGTCCTGACTAATAATATCTATATACATTTGTCTGTTGCATAGGTTTGATGGGCTGGACGTCATGGCTGAACATGAGGAGTTTCTCCCACATAAGACTGGTGCTAAGAAAGACATCCGCTTTACAGATGTGAGTGATTTAATACTCATGTGTCCTCATATACATTACAGAAGTTGAGTGGAGCTCCATTAATTAAATAAGGACCCTGCCTCACTGTACTTATGCTAAAGTGGCCTCTCCTTATGTGCACCAGCGTCTAATGAGTCTCATGCTTACCAGAAAAAACCATCAGGGACAAAGTCCACACATTAATGGCCAATAATGGAAATAATTAGATTGACATTGACTTTATATTGAATTTAAAATGTTGAGCAAACTGTGTAGTGTGTAGTAGTAAGCAGTAGGCCTTGAAATAGCATATAATATATGAAAAGATCTCAAATGAAATTTTGGGGGAACCAGTTAAAATAGGCAGATTGTAGATGCTAAAGTGAATAGGCCTAATAACATTCTTGTGTATATATACAGTACATGTGCTAGGATTAGCTTTGTCAGTGGAGAAAACCAGTATTAATTACTAGGAGACCAAGCCCTTATATTTGAGTATTTTTTGTACTTTATGTACAAATCCCAGTGGGCCCATCAGTGGGCTGGTGTACCGTCAAAAACAAAACATAAAGTTTTAACCAGCCATGTCTGTCTCTTTACTGGCCCTCGGTTGTGCTGAGTGCACGTTACAAGACTGTTTACTGGCCAACTACAACTAAGTGAATTCACGTTAACACGGTCAAACCTCATGTCCATGTCTATCAGATGGGATTTTTTGCTGGAATGATTGTTCTGTTGTGTGATTTAGTTTTCAGAATTTGATTTACATCTTTTGTCTTTTTGCTGCAGTTCGAGGGAAAGACTTCATTTGGCATGTCCGTCTTTAATCTCAGTAACGCCATAATGGGTAGTGGAATTCTGGGATTGGCTTTTGCAATGTCCAACACTGGAATCGTTCTTTTTATGTGAGTATGAAGCCAAATACACAGTCACTATTTTGACTAAACTGTGACTGACTGTATATATGTGTGTTTATGTATTTGTCTTTCCATGTATATGCATGCATTTGCCCACTGCATCCTTAAAATAATCTTGTGCAAAGAGGATATTGTAGAATACTATATTCAGCTTCTTCTTGTGACTTATATTTGGTATTTGGGTTAAGCCAAATGTGCACGCTCCTCGAGGTTGCAAGAATAAAGCATGGCTGTTAGCTGAGTGTGTTTGAGTTCATGAGCTGTAGACCAACACAGTGAAGATGTGTGCAAGTCATTTTGCCCATCTCTTTTATTTTTAAGATTAATTTAAGTTGGGATAATATTGAACATAATTTTTTGCGCAGCACATTTTTACATTTGTGCCTGTATATGTTTTAATTATTTGTTGCCTCATGTTTCAATTGGAGTTCGATTTGATTTCAGGTTATAATTAGGATTAGGTTAAAGTTTGTGTTGTTGGACACAGTGTGGGTGTAGTCAGGGGAGGGTCCTTATAAGGCTAGAAGTAGGACCATAGGGGTGTGTCTGTCATCTGTGTGTTTGTGTTCGGACAGGTATGTGTGGTGGCAGGGGCCTGAGCTCTGTGCAATAATATGTTTGTTTGTGTGTTACTGTCTGTGTCTGTGTGGCCTGTGGGTGTAAATGTGCACATACAACTGCTGCTGCACAAGCCTGATCTGTCACATTGTACATTAGAGCTCATGCACACGTAGCTTCTCTAAATCAGATTTGAACTGTTAAATATAGACCCCAGTGAACAGATCCAAGGCACGCCTTCTTGGATCAGACCTGTGCTATGTGGCGGGAGGGGGGGTTGGGGAGTCTCTTAAAGCCAAGCTAAACTCTCCGTGACGGTGGAAAAGAACGACGATTAAAGATGATTCTCACTGTTATATAATATTAACAGAATTATCTTTTACTGTTGTTTAAGTAGATAATGAGCACAGTTTCACAGTTTAACACATTTCTGTCACGTAATTTGAGACTCAAATTTTCACAAAAAAAAGAAATCCCTCTTCTTGTGTCTTTACAGAGTCCTGTTGCTGTGCATTGCCATTCTGTCTGCATATTCCATCCATCTCCTCCTGAGAAGTGCCGGAGTTGTCGGTAAGCCAGCGCTACACTCACTGAGCATATGAGGCCACAGAATAAATTATGTATTTAAAAATAATCACACACAAACATAATGTTCATGTGTTTTCAGGGATCCGGGCTTATGAACAGCTCGGGAATCGGGCTTTTGGCCCCGTGGGAAAAATGCTGGCTGCATGCGTTATTACAATACACAACATTGGAGGTACTATGTTTTTATTTTTGTTATATTTATACCTGATACCATCAGTTAAACGATGCATATTCAATCAGATAAAGTAAATAACCAAAAATAAATGTATTTCAATTTCCTTTTAGCAATGTCCAGCTATCTCTTCATTATCAAGTCTGAGCTCCCTCTGGTAATTCAAGCTTTCCTTGATAGTGAAGAAAACACCGAGTGAGTGCAGAAGGATTAGTCATGCATACCTTTGTAGATTCACGTATTAGTTTTTCTGCAGAACTGATTTTGTTTGTCTGACTGTTTCGTAGAGAGTGGTACATGAATGGAAACTACTTGATCATCATTGTTAGCGTTTCCATCATTCTTCCTCTAGCACTCATGAAACAACTTGGTATGTTTTTCATCCTGTCATCACATTTTCTTCAGTTGATTACTTTTACTCTGTCATATATTTCATGTCTCCACGACCTGTTTCTTGTCGTGTTCACTTTCACATTCTGAAATTAAGTCATCTCTTCCAGTGTTTCTCCTCAGTTTGTGACTGTGAATCACTTTCTAATGCAGGTTACCTGGGCTATACCAGTGGCTTCTCCCTCTCCTGCATGGTGTTTTTCCTCATTTCGGTGAGTCGGCAAACAGCCAGCAAAGATTCATACGATATCCTCAGCTGTTCCTCTGTTTAACGTTTTATCTTGGATTGCTGTCAATCTCCAGGTTATCTACAAGAAATTTAATATTTTGTGTCCGCTGGAGAGCGAGGACCAACTTAATGAGACTCTTTTTGCTGACAACCACGCTGCCATGAATGAGACGGGCGACATCTGTGAAGCCAAGATGTTTACCATCAACTCACAGGTTTGAGGAAAATCATTTTTTACATCGCCAACCTTTAGTGAAGTGTCGGCTGTATATCTAATTCTTGGCGAGTGCAGTAGAGCGTGTTATGTCAACAGCATCAAGCGTGTTATGTCAACAGCTGTATTGATTATAGGAAAACTATTAGCTGTGTATTATTCTCCAACATTTGTTGTTTTCTGCTTTTAGACCGCGTACACAGTCCCAATTCTGGCCTTCGCTTTTGTCTGTCACCCTGAAGTGTTACCGATCTACACTGAACTGCGAGAGTAAGTCAGAAAACAGCTTTTTTTCTCAAATGTGTTGAATAAGAAAGCTGGGCTAAAAGGTTTGAGTAAAATTATTACATTTTTCTTTGCAGTGCCACCAAGAAACGTATGCAGGGTGTTGCCAACATTTCCATCTTGGCCATGTTTGTCATGTACCTGCTGACGGCTCTTTTTGGTTACCTCACCTTTTATGGTAAGAGCCTCAAAGGTCACTCTGTTCTGATGTTGTGTTTGGCAAGATTTCAAATGAATGACCCACTTGTGCCCAGAGCTCATACGCATTTTCCAATTTTGTGAATGAGCATCTTTACCCGGTGAGATACCGTATCAAGCGCTGTGTGCTTCTCTGTGTGTGTACAGGTGGCGTGGAGTCAGAGCTGCTCCACACCTACAGTCGCTTGGGCTTCCGGGACGTCCTGATCCTCTGCGTGCGTCTGGCCGTGCTGGTGGCCGTCACGCTGACTGTCCCTGTGGTTCTGTTTCCGGTGAGATATTCATCATATTAGAATTGTTACTTTACACATTTCATAAAAAAAAATTTAAAAAATGATTGGCCTCAATACATATATTTAAATTATAAAATATAACTGTTATAGTTTTATTTAATAAGAATAGATAAAGGCACTATGTAAGCCATCATGGAGGCTAGTTAAAATCAGTGTCATGAGAATGATGACCCCTAGTGGTAAAAGAATTGTGGACTAATTCTAATAGACCAAATATTTTATTGGAAGATAGGCCTGAGACCAGTTTATGACTTGAGGCTTTTATTTTTTTAAGTAGGTCACTTCCTAACTATGTTGTCTAAGAACATCCTGAACTCACAGCTGGAACATTAAGAGTTCATAACACTGCTCATGTCGCCTCTATACTGCAGATGGGATCCATCCAGAGTCATTGTCTGTCAAGGTTCTGAAAACAACTCAGTTTCAGAGCTTCTGTTTCAGTACTGTGTTGACTGTGTGGAGCCTGTTCAGGCTTCAGAGTTATCTACAGTTATTCAAATTGAAAGGGATTATTAATAAAACTGCGCAAATAATCAAACATGTCGCAGTTTTCTCTACAGGTTAGAGAAATAGTTTGACTGACAGGAATCAGGGGGGAAATGTTAGACCAGGATCGATCTACCACCACATTTACGCGTCATTGATTTATATGTCATGTTATATTCATATAGTTTGTGTCTTTAAGCGTTTCATGACAGGGAGCAGGGCCTTTGGTGAGCTCTGGACAGAGCTAGGCCAGCTGTTTCAAGTTCACCACAATATTTAGGCTATTGACCTATTTCGGAATAAGACATTGATCAGACTATGATGTTTACACGAGTTTACAGTGTTCAGGTTAGAGAGCAGATTTTGTTTCCTGTCAACATTATATCCTACTATTTGATTACACTCAAACCTCAGCCATGCATCATCAAGCTGTTGGTAACTGTCTTATGTTGATGTTGCAAAATTATGTGAAAACTCCAATAGGACGTTAAAATGTGACATATACTTCAATTCCATTTTTGATTATTCCGACTATGACTTGTTTCCTGTTAAGGTAATCAGAACATGCTGTTTGTATAACAGCGTCTTATTCAGATTATTGAGTGATAAAATCAGAATATCATTGTCCATGTAAAAGTGTTTATTGCGTTTATTTCCCTAAAAGTCAAAATAGTGTGTGAACAGCTGCTCTTGCTCTGTAAACTGAAACTGTCAAGTATGTTGCTCTTCTGGTCTCAATCTACATCATGTTCAAACAAATATTTTCCCCCTGAGGGGGTGACAGAAAATGTTTGCTAAAATGTCAGCCAGCTAGCTGACGTTTTAGCAAACATAGCGCCTAATAAACAGTGCCATAACTCTGTTCCTTGTGGTGATAAAACCAGATTACCTTTATTTTTATATAATTATATCAGTCTTGGTACTTGTTATCTTATTTGTAAAGGGAAACATGTTTTCCTTCCTTCCTCCCGCAGATCCGCAGGGCTTTGCTCCAGATCTTGTGCCCTGACAAGCCTTTCCACTGGGTCAGACACATCGCCATCGCATTTTGTCTCATCTTCGTGGTCAACCTGCTTGTTATCTTCGTGCCCTCCATCCGCTACATCTTTGGCATCATCGGTAAGTTTACACAGGAAGAAAAGCTGTTTAGTCTGGGCTTCAGTGCTGTGAGCTCAGACCTCTGTTCTCCACCTTCATCTACAGGAGCCACATCTGCCCCCACCCTCATCTTCATCCTACCTGGAATCTTCTATGTCCGGATTGTTCCTGAAGACCAGGAGCCTTTACTGTCCAGACCCAAGATTCAGGTACAAGTCGATTCCGTCAGCTGTATGTGTTTTTCAACATAAGTTTTCAACTGGCATGAAAGTAACTTAGATAGTAAATAGTGGTGTTAACCCTTGTGATCTTAGGAACTAATACCTCAGCTTTAAATCCTGTTCATTAACACTGACAAAGAGGAAATACATATGAACATTAATTATTTACTAAACAAAAATGAAATGAAATGAGTGAAATCAGCTTCTGGTGCATTGTTAGTCTGTCTCACAGTTTCTTACTCAAACACAAATACAGGATAGACTCTCTGAGGCAAAACTAAAGTAAACTGCCAGAGGTGTACTTTAAACATAGCAACAGAAAACGAATCACACTTTTCCAAAGCTATTTATGTCAAAGATCAATATTTAACCTGACATATATTAAATGTACTCAGGTGCAAAGTAGCATTAAGGTTCAGGATGAAACAATAACCACAGACACTGTTTTACTATTGTGGGCCCACATAGAAAATGAAAACCCCAAAGCCGGCATTAGAACACAAGTAAAACCTGTTGCAGGCCTGAATGTAGCTTGAGAGCAACATGTGAGGAAAGTGCACTTACAGTACTATGAATGGAGTCCTCACTCCTGGAGGCCATGACACAGTCAGCTATCCTCCTCCTTCCTCTGAAGACAGGTGAGAGACAGCAGCTACGGTCCCACGGAACGGCTGGTGTCCCTCGAAGCCAGAGGTGCAACCATCTGCGGCTCTCGTGTGGCTCCCACGTCCGTTAATTATGAACTAGCATTGCATTAGCTGAATGCTAACACGTGACTACACCGCAGGCTAAACGGCCTGAGTAAGCTCCCACAGTCCAAACACTCAAACACGTGTCATGTTAACACCTCCTGACTCATATTCAACCGTTACACCTGACTTCTCTCCTTGTAGCGAGGCGCCACATTAGGAGAAACACACAGAACAACCCACTATCTCTCTGTACCGACTAATCGGAGGCAGATAATACAGCCAATCAAGATGGTGTCTCACCCCACATGTTAGGAGATGAATTTCCGAAACAAGCTATGGAGAGGTTACACATCTTAAAGTGACAAACCCTATAGTGTGGCCACTGCTTTTCAGATTATTCTTATCTTAGAGACTCATAGCTCTGTGGAATAACTTCAGGGCTACACTCGTATGTTGTTGACACGGATGTTGTGTTTCCTTCCACCTCTGCAGGCTGCATGTTTTGCTGCCCTGGGATTCATCTTCATGATCATGAGTTTGTCGTTCATCATCACTGACTGGGTGACTGGAGAGTCCAAAAGCGGAGGTGGACACTAGCTGCCACGACTGAACAGCGATACCATGAAAACAATGCAACCAAAGCTCCCTGCCATTAAATTACCCCTAATCTGCCGAGTTCTCATCCAAAGCCAAACTGGGTGGTTTGGCTGCACCAGATGAAAGATATGTGAAGGGCCTTTTCCCACGACAACAAAAAAAGAAAAGAGAAATTCAAAAATGATGACGGGGCAGTCAAAAGGTCCTGTAATGGAGGAGAGAACAGAGATGCATGAGTATACAAAGTAATATGTTCTGACTGATTAAAACCTGTGTCACAGGCTGCAGCAAGAATATTGTTTGGAGGCATGTGTAGAAATGAATAAGCCAGGAAAAGAGTAATAAATGGGAACAGCGTGACTCAAATGGAAATCCCATTTTAGAGAATGAATGTGTAGACTTTCCTGGAATAGCTCGGTCACTGCCAAACTCCTTCCAATCTACTTCCCCACAATTTCAGGGTGCACACAACAGAAATGTGATAAGAGTTTGCTTTTTATAAAAGAGAATGACGTCAGTTTCAATTTTGTTACATTTTAAAGACTTTTAAATGTGTCCAAATCTAGACATTTCTCTAAACGTGACAGATTCAGCTCAATACGACCAGCGAGGGTTAGTCTGCAGCTCCATATCCCAATCCATCAAAATCCAAGTTTCACTGACTTGTACATGGAAATTGATTAATGTGTTTTAATGTGATCATTTGTCGAGATAATTCACCTAAACATGAGGTCATCGTCGTCAAAGCTGAGTCTGACGTGACCTTTTTTATTCGTGATCCTACGGATATGGTGCAGTTTGTGGGTTTTTGCTGCTATTCATGAAGGTCAAACAGACAGTAACTGACAATCACACACAGAGAAAGACAGCGAGAGGTGGTTTGCACAATTTCTAAGTCTATATATGTCCCTGAAGACATCATAGCTGCAAACCAAAGACTTTATTTATTGTGTTATATTGAGATGGTTTCAACACACTATTTTTATTTTAAAGCATGTTCAGCAAAGTCCACTTATTGAATATACGTCCAAACATCCAGCTTTAGAAATGCTGTTCCTCTTTCAGCACGTCCAGAAACTGTTCAGCACAGTGAATAGTGACCTATGGATTTAATTTAAAAATAAAAGAATGCCATTCATCCTGTATATTTTTAAATTAATTTGAATGTTGTTATCTGTCAATAAAATATGTCTCATTTGTACATATGCACGGAGTTGAGGTCATCTTTTGTGTGTGACTCTTTAAAATGAATGTAGACACACAGCAGTACAAGTGCAACTGTCAACTCTCTCACCCTGAAAATGGAAGTAACACATTCATTTGCGCTGTGCCTCTGAGGGAGAGAAGAAAAGTGGGGGTTAGAGAAGTGCGGTTGCCTGTTTCCTGCTTTGAAATGATGTGTGCACAGAACAGAGAAGAGAAACTTCCTTGACTGTAGAGACCTGTGTTCTGACAGTACAGGGAGGGCAACCTTTTCTCTTTTCAAATGCTGTGCACATTTATTCAAAATTCACTGGCAGATCTATCAGAGGAATCATGAGCCGTGGATCTAAGTCTAAGACGGACTGTGCCCGCAGCTCTCTGCTGAGCCTGCAGGAGCATGAGAAGCTGGAGGATCTTCTGGGCAGAAGGTGTGCTGTAAGTCATATCTATCTGTTATCTGTCCTGTTTACTTTCTGAAGTTTATTGTGAAAGGGGAAAGAAAAGAAAAGGTGTACTGTTTGTTCTGGCTCAAACGGATATAAACAGTTTGAGCCCTGAAGACTTTGCTCTACTGCTTTTGGTTGTTTAACATCCTGTCCTGAATTTCAATGAGCACATGATTGAATCCTCAGCCGGGAAATTATTTTGTAATATATTCAAATCAAGATAATGTAGTTTCTGCTTTTCATTTGGTTTTGTGCTTCTTGTCTCACCTGCTGTTGATTTAGTTACTTATACCTTTTATGTCTTACATCTGTTTTAGGCCCATTCTGGGTCAAATATATTTAAAGACATATATTTTTCAAAAGAAATCCACAGTGCGTTGATGAAAATGCAGTTAAAATGACATTAGGTCATCAAAAAGGACCCAGCTGTAACAGGAAATGGTGGTTGGAGCATTTCTTCCTCTGTGTCAGAATTAGATGCGATCATTGGGTCTGGCGTCACAGAGCAGAAGTTGCTTTGTTCTTTTCTTTAGAAACCCGGCTCCTGTCGCTGAACGAACAAATAAAATCAATCTAATAAGAGCTGCACATTTTAACGACTCATGCACAAGCTGTGGCAAATCAAGAGCCTCACCACAAAACACCAAATTTACACATGAGCTGCAATAAAAAGTGTCCTAGGTTTTTAATGTGTGTGTGTGTGTGTGTTTAGTCCATGGCCACTGCAGTAGCCCAGTTGTACATGGCTCTGCCTCACAGTCCGTCCACGTGGAACTTGCAGCACACAGGAGTGGTGTGCTTCATCAAAGACAACCCTCAGCGCTCCTACTTCATACGGATGTTTGATTTGAAGGTAATCTCTCACACGATGGTTCTTTAATACCAAGAATTGAATCATCGAGGCCTTCTCCAGACTGATTACCCGATCACTGTGCTGTACGTTGTCCTGACACAACATGACTCACGTCATTGAGAGACTGAAATGTTAAAATAACAAACGTTTTTCCCCCCACAGGGAGGGAGGCTGGTTTGGGAGCAGGAGCTCTACAACCAAATAGTTTACTCCTCGCCACAGTGGTACTTTCATACCTTCGCTGCAGATGTAAGGATACACACACACACACATATATATATATATCTATATATATATACACCTCTCACTGCCTCACTCCCTGCAGTTATTGTTGGTTAAATCCTCTTTGTGTTGTAAAGTAGTGAGAGTCTGTGTTGACTTGTAATCTAATGCAGGACTGTCAAGTCGGTCTGAACTTTGCTGATGAACAGGAAGCAGACGCCTTCCAAAATGCAGTGGAGGGGAAAATCTGCCAAAGAAATAGCCGTCATGGTCAGTGAGGTTATATGTTTGTTTTTAAGAATTATAGAATATTAAATACCATACTTCCCATCACAATGTTTTCTATATATGCTCTTGATTTACTTAACACTATTGTTTGCAATGTGACCTGGGATATATTTGAAATCCTGTGTAGTGAGGTTGATTTGTGCCAAACTCTGAAAAGTAAGAATGTTAAAAACATCAACAAATGACAATTGATGCTTGAATTCTGCATTTGATTGAAACAATGTTGTGTTCAAGGTGGTTTTACTTGATTAATATTGAACAGTGAAGTAAAATGATGCAACATGGTTGCTCTCTCTGCCTTGAATTTGACAGACAAGAAACAGCGCCCCCTGCCATCAAGTGGTAAGGCAGCATTTAAATTCATAAATGCAATATGTTTTTTAAAAGTGCAGCTACTTTACTTTCCTCTATTTTCTATTTCATTATAGACAGAGGATCTCTGCCTCCGCTCCCCCCTGACAAAGGTATGTGCCTCCTTCACCTCAGCATTTCTCCATGAGTAACTTTTACCACCAACAGGCAGCGACTTCTGGAATCAAGAACCAACTTTGATATTCTCTCTCTCTCATCCAAAAGCATCATCCGGTAGCCCTGGATCTTATCACATGGCCACGGTGGACATTCAGAACCCGGACATCCATTCCTCCCGCTACCGCTCGATGCCTTCGCCTGCCGCCTGCTCAGCTCCGAGCGGCAAAGACAAGAAGAAGGACAAGAAGAATAAGAAAAAGGGTCCCAAATTCTCCAAAGCAGACATAGGAGCACCCAGTGGATTCAAGTGAGTGTGATGGCTGATGAATGTGATGAAGTTTGATTGATATTTCCAAAGGATGTTGTTTTACTTTGTTTTCCCAAAATGTAAACTGTGTCACTCTGTCCTCCTCCTTCACGTCAGGCACGTTTCTCATGTGGGATGGGATCCCAACAATCTGGACCCTGACCTGTCGAAGCTGCTCTCCCAGGCTGGGATCAGTGAGGCTGAGATGAGAGATGAAAAGACGTCTCAGCTCATCTACAACGTCATCGAGCAGTCTGGAGGTTTGGAGGCCGTCAAAAGGGAGGTGAACAAAAAAGGTTTGACTGTTTCATTTTCAACCCACTTATCAATCTCACTGCTCCCTGCAGACTAATGCAGCCTACTTCTATGTATAATTAATATCTTCCACTACATCACAGGGTCTGTACCTCCACCTCCTCCACCCAGTAGAGGGTCCCTGCCTCCTGTGCCGAGCTCCAGTCCGTCTGCCCCGGCCCCTCCACCTCATCGAGGCCGCTCTGGCCCCCTGCCTCCCATCCCTGGCCAGCCAGGGCGAGTGCCCCCATCTGCTCAGCCAGCAACAGGACGTGGAGGCAAACCACCCCCGCTCCCTACGTCAGGCAGAGGCGGCCCTCCACCACCGCCGCCGCCAGGGCCAACTGCACACTCTCAATTCCCTCCACCACCCTCCTCAAATTCCTCTCACATCTCTATGTCTTCTCATAACCTGCCTCCTCCCATGCCGCCTTCTGGCCAACAGCGCTCCACAGGTTTACCACCTCCTCCTGTCCCATCTGCACCCGGCAGAGGAGGAGGGCCTCCACCTCCTCCTCCGCCTCCTCCACCTCCTCAGATCTCTGTTTCTCCAAATCACCCACCACCCCCTCCTGTCTCTGGTGGCTCAGCACCACCTGCCCCTACGTCAAATAAAGGAGGAGACAGCCGAGGAGATCTGCTGGATCAGATCCGACTGGGGAAGAAGCTCAGAAATGTAAAGCAACTTTCATTTCTTCCAAACATTTCATATATGCTTCTAATAAAACTTTGCTTACACGTTTAACTGCTGTCCTGCTGTGTTGCAGGTGACGGAGAGCCCTGATCCTGTTGCACCTTCCTCTCCTGCATCCGGTGAGGGCATCGTTGGCGCTCTCATGATGGTCATGCAGAAGAGGAGTAAAGTCATCCACTCCTCTGGTAAATATTGGAACAATAATTTCATCTTCATGAGCAAGAACAATGCATTTGTTGAAGACGTAGTCCAACATTTTTATATCCGTCCTCTCTTTCAGATGAGAGTGAAGACGAGGGCGGATTTGATGACGACGACGACGACGAGTGGGACGAGTGATGCAGAGGTTTTTTTCGATTTTGTGGATTTTGAAATCCGGAGGATGTGCAACATGTTTACAACAGCTTTGAGTCAAACTGTGTCGGTGGTTAAATAAACACGTAATTCAGTATGAAGTACAGTGAAGGACACGTTTAAGAGAGAAATGTTTTTTTTATATTTGTTCAAACATTCCCAGTGTAGGATTGATCGGCATGACAGCACACAGCACTGTGTTACTCACAATGATGGTGAATGGTGGCTCTGGCTGGACAAAATGTCTCGTTCCTTGTGCTTCCATTAAAAAGGAGCCGTTTTTAGAAATACGTAAACACGTAAATACAGCTGATGACAGAACACCACCAATTGATACTAAATCTGAGCCAGTTTCAGTCCCATTTTTTTGTTGTAATAACATACTGTACATGAAAACTATGTTTCTGCATCATTTTTCTCATACATCTGTGCAAAAGATCCCAGATTTCCCTCTAAAACCGCCACCGACAAAGTGCATAACTGGAAGAACACTGTATGCTATATCTTAAACACTCACATACTGTAGGTCACTAGAGCACGGGACAGTAAGGGAGTCATTACATGACAAACATCCAATGGAATTAGCTTAACAGAATACGTTACACCTTACAAACATCGCAACACATCACGGTCGGAAACAGTCAAATGTACAACTTGCAACAAACAACAACACGTAAGCATGCAACATATTATCTTCATACAATACAAGTGTAATCCAATGACCATATATATTATATTCACAATCAATATATTACATTTTTGTTTCAAGATACTTATAAGGACCATAGCTGTGGTTTTGCATGTTGTGGTCGTTTAACTACATGTTGCGTTTACTTTACATCACAGTCAAACTTTTTTAAAGCAACGGCGAACTTGACTCGAATATATATGATCGATCACAATCACTAATGTTATGGTTTTGTCACAGAAAGATTAGAGCTGCCTGGTAATCCAGGTGTGTTTTGGAAATCTGACCTTAGTGGTGAGAACCATCCTACATCAGACGGAGGAAACTTTAACACAAAGTCCTGGGAGCAACCTGTGAGACAAATAATAAGCAAACATTAACTGTATGAAAAAGACTGTGTGTAATTTCTTCGTTTCTTGAACTCAAAATGTTGAAATCACTCTCAAATCACTGATGCTGGTGTTTCCTAAAAGCTCTAAAATGAAAGGTCTGAAAACAATCCCGTGTGACAGGTGATCAAAGTCTGTGACTTGATTTCGACGTCAAACTAATGCGAACCGAAACCTGAGAGAACCAAACTGTGTTCTTTGAAAAGTGGTCATCGGTAATGTAAAATATACACAACCTGTGTTTAGGCTGACACTGGCAAAACCACCAGTATAGTTCTTTAACGACAGCATGAACGCGTCACCTGCCTAATGGATGGAGGTAACGACCAAACATGCATGTCAAACATAAAAGTCCACTGTAGAGTCCAGACAGGCCAGTGTTGGACAGCATGGGTCCCATCGTCTAGCCGAGGCCTTGGTCCTGGCTCTCTGTGTGCCTGCGGCTGGTGCGCTTGCGCTGCTGCTGCTGTTGCTGTTTGGGACTCAGCTGTTCCCAGTAGGACTGGCAGTACTGGTTGATCAGTCTGATCTCGGGCGGGAAAGGTGTGGAGACGAAGGACGCCTGCGGGTGAGGTCCCGCCTGCCGGGTTTTGGGCTCCTCGTCCTCGTCTTGAGCAGTGAGAGCCAGAACGATGTCTCGGTCCAGGATGCGCAGAGCCACGCGGGCCACGGTGTGTTTGAAGTTGTTCTCAGTGGCGAGGCAGTGGTAGAGGCCTGCGTCTGATTGGTTCAGGGACTTCAGGAGGATGCCGTGGTTGGTCTTCAGAACACCCCCCACACGGCCGAGCTGTGGAAAAGAGAATAAAAGTTGGAAGACTACAAACAGAAAGGCTCCAATATTATTTAAGGTAAAACGAAGGGTCAGGCTCTGACTGATCTCAGGTCTGTCCAGAACCTGCTTGTCTCAGCTTAGCAGAAAGATTGGACTCTGCCTGTCTGGATCCGAAGTAACAACATTCACCTTCCAGCACCTGAAAGCTTCATGCTAAAGCACCATGTTAACGCCACAGTGTAAAAACAACAAGCAGCAGTTTTGTGGCGTGTGCTGGACTGTTTATTGCCGACCAGACTTTTATTACCTCCTTGGTGGAGTAAAGTCTAGTTATGCTTTCGTCTCTGCATTTACTTGTTTTTGGAGGCGTGAGGCAGAACCCAACACATTTCAGGGAGGATACAGGAATTTTTATTCCCAACATTTTCTTTAACATTGCAAGATTTTCGAACATTGTCTTTGTTTTCTCAGGGAGTCATTCATGGATCTTGATGACCAAATTCAGGCATATTTAGGGAACTGATACATGAGTGTGTGAGATTTGGTGCTTGCGTCATTCTGGTTTAAAATGTGACTGTTCCTCCTCACCACTTTCCTCTTCCCCTCCCTCTGGAAGAGCCACTTGACGGTGGCCTGAGGAGAGCGAGGCTGACACTCCAAGAAAGTGCTGCTGCCCTCCACCCCGAACTGAACCGTCTCTCTGAGACGTTTCTCCACTGCAACGACAGAGAAACATGCTTTACTAAGTGCATTATCATTACTACAACTACCAGTGCTATATAAAAAGTTATTATTATTACAAATTTTAAGTGGTCTTTAAACACATCGAATATTTACCACACCTTTTGCATTGAAGCCTCTGCACTGCCTCAGAGGGTCCCCATGTTTAACGTCCTGTCTTCTGCTCCTCCTGAGACAAAGGTGACAATCAAGAATGAATCTGACTCAACACATCCCGGCTTCACAGTGGAGAAACAAAACGATTTTGATTCTGTGAGACGTCCCTGACCTCTTGGTGGACGGGGTGAAGGCAGAGCAGCTCTCTCCATCCCAGGCGCAGTAGGGGTCCCGGGCCAAGCAGCAGTCGGAGCAGGCCCTGCCGTACACACCACAGCGGTGCAGCGACACCTGGGTCAGCCCCGCGTCCGATGACACGTAGAGCTGTTGCTGCGGTGACACAAGCAACACGACTCAGTGAGGAAACTGTTCATACACTGTAAAAGGTTTCTTCAGGACGGATGTGCTTACTCTTTTAGAAGATATCTTCATTGTTTTGACAGGAGCCCTGGTCTGGAAATGTTATTTAACAAATGAAAAAAAGATAAATCAACACATTATCATCACATTTCATTACAAAAAACAATATTTCAGTGATTTCAGGGCCAAATATTCAAACATACCCTAAAAACCTCTACTTCCTCCAGCGTGAGTTCCTCCATGCTGATCGGGTCCTTCGGCAAAACGATAACTTTTTGCACGGTCCCTCGATCTGGAAGTGAGAGACGTTTACTTTGAGTCCTACAATTTGTGGTCAAAATGATCCTCAGGTTGGAGAAGTGTCCTCAGCACTTGCAGCTGTCTCACCTGTCCCCAGGAACAGCACCTCGTAGCGTCCATCAACAGCATCCACCTGATCCACCACCAGGGCAGTGAAGCGGTAGTCCACGCCGGTTCTCACCACCAGGGGGCGGCGGTGGATAGGATAAACTGGATGGATCATGAGGGGATGAGCTCGGATGAAATCCACAGCCTCGTCCGAGAAGTTCTTGGAGGAGCGGATGCCTGGAGTGAAGGTTCCTCCTGGACACTGGATGGGAAGAAGGAAAAGGTGGAGATTGTTTATGTGCAGGTTTGTGAAAACATGTCTGAGGTGTGTTTGAATCTGAATCTGAAGTTTACTCCTGACTGGGTTTTCACATACATACAACATGCTTTGGTGTTTTTAGTGAAAAACAGTGAACATGGTAAAAAAAAAGAAGAGTGAGGGGAAAGGTAAAGCCAATGAAGAGCAAGTACTGTGAGAATCTGAGGAGAAAGAAAAGATTCAGATTTTATGAATCCAAAGAAATTCTTGTGCCAGCTTGCTCCAGGATTAGTGACACAAGATATGTACTGAGAGTATAAAGTCAAACAAATATAGTGAAAATAAAAATGAAAGTATCAAGTGTATTATAAGTGAAAAAGAAATTCTAAACTGAGTAACAAGTACATAAGTACACGAAAAAAAATCCCAGGAAATCCCTATAAAATAATTATTATTGTGTTTTTGTATTGTGAAAATATTAAGAGTGATACAACCTCAGTGATATAAAAATACCCATGAATTATTCCCTGTGAAATCTGAGAGGAGTCAAAAAAAAAAACTCACAATGTTAAAGAAAGTGGGAAAAAACTAATCCTGGATTTGCCCACTGATCCAGATCTGCACCAAAAGTTTAATTGGGTTCTTCCCTGACTCAGAAAACATCCGTTCAGTTGTTTTTGTGTAATCTTGCTTACAATCCAGCGGACAGGGGTGAAAACATAAAAATAAAATATATAGAAATGTGTGTAATGTGAAAACATGTGTAATATCTCAATAGTTCACTCAGAATTAAATGTGAGTATCCACATTTATTATAAATGTGCATAGGTGATACAGTGATTGATTAAATGAGATGAACAAGAGAACATGAGTGAAACGTACTGATCCAGGTCGTGGGTAGGGAATCTTGCCCGTGTACTCTGTCCACTGGTAATTGTGTCCGTGTTTGTGGGCAAACGGTCCATTGAAGACGTTGCGTATATCAGCCATGGCGTACACGCACACTGCTGAGCCCTTGAACACGGAGCTTAAACACAAACAGATCATTACGGTCAGAGGCTTCATTAAGAGACGCTCTGCACCCACACACACTGCAATGACTCGTCTACGATGTGAATGTTGAGGTGGGGTGAGGTGAAGGACAGAACTCACCCTGCTGTGGTGAAGAGAGCGTACACCATCGGGTTTCGTTCATCCTGCGTGGGTTGAATAAACACGTCCCCTGGAAGGAGAGCAACACACAAATCAATACCTCTGTATAAAAGCAGCCGCAATTACAATGCAATCACCTGAAGCGCAGTGCTGATTTTACTGTGGCCTCACGTAGTTCATCGAAGCGCGTCTCCACTCCATCTTCGCCGATCACGGAGCAGATAAGACGAGCCTTCAAGAAGGTCGTCCAGCGGTTCACCAGAGACTTCTGCCCTCCTTCATCATTCTGGACAGGAGGGAAATGAGGCCATGATTCAATACGTACCATTCCTTTCACATCAGAATGAGAACTTGTATTAAATTATTACACATAAACACCACTTATTGTGAATCTCACTTCCTGCACACCTTTTTACATTCATATTTTATCGTATACTATTGTGAATTTATATTTATTCTCATATTTATGTACATCTTTGTGAAGTTAATATAATAAACACTTCAAGGATACTTTTGTGAAATTTCTATACAAAACAATATTTCCAAAGTGGAAGGTATATATTATATTATGTACCTATTCTGTATTATAATTTGTTTTTCTTATTTCTATTCTAGTTCCTTTTTTATTCTTTCTCTTGTCCACCTTATTCACTTGTTTGCTGCTGTTACAAGTTCATTTCCCTGGTGTAGGATCAATAAAGTATTATCTTATCTTATCTTATATGTAAATGTCTTATAATATCTTTTTTCACTCCATATACGCTGTGGATTCCTCACCAGACACACTCTTCCCACCCTGGCCAAAACACTGGGGCTCGCCCCGCCGCTGGAGTCTAGACTCTTCTCTCGGAAAAAGAAGTAAAGTTTGTCGTCGTTCTTCTCTGCGCTGTCAGGGATCTGCTGGATCTGAACAAACACCGGCTCTGAGGGATAAAAACAGATAAACCGGGAGTGGATTGAGGCAAGTGGTTGTCAAATAAAATTGGAGGAACTGTAACCTGTAATCACTGACAGTTACCTCCTCACACCCACACTTACTCACCATTGAGCCACCTGGAGTCGTACTGCTCTGTCCTTATTGCCGTTCTCCCGCCCATGGTCCTAAACAGAGCAGCATCCGTGCTCATGAAGTCAATATGGACGCCTGCGTATAGGTTACCATCTGCAGAGGCGGAGGGATGAGACAATAAAGGAGTAAGACTTTGTGATTCTGCAGCACAAGACGTTTAAACTCAAAAGATTTGGGGGTTTTTTGCCTATAAATGAAGAATGTCTTACGGATGAGAACTGCAATGTTCTCCTGTGTGGGATCATAGGAACATTTTCCTTTCCCTGAATCCATGTACCCAGGGACCAGCCTGAACAGGTAGTCCTGCAGAGATGAGACAAAGAGAACGTGCATAAAAATAGACCACTAAGACGTCACATGGGAGCATGAGAAAATCATAAACAAATCAGTGTCCCAGTTTGTAGCCCTGAAATATTTAACAGGACGACGCTTTCCAGGCCTGCTGCAGAGGGACGCTTGCTGTAAATCCCACTAGGGGGAACTGTAAATGTCTTTGGGTTCACCTCTGCCCTCCAGCCCCGGTTAATGAATGTGCAGATGGGCTGGTACGCCCCCGTTCCACAGGTGTAGAGGTGGGTGCGGTTCCACGGCTCTATCAGCCTCACGAAATTGGCACATTCGCCCTGGACAAAGACGAGTAAGACAAATGGAATTCAAACATCATCCTCGTCACGAAAGCAGAGGCCTGTAATTTTTTGAAAGAGCCGGATGTAAACACATGATCCCACCTGTCTCCCCTTTCCTGTCATCTGACATTCTCCCTTTCTCTTGGCGGATGCCGGCCAGTGGATCTGGGTTCAGCAAACACACAAACAAAACACTGGATTAATGCGGATCAATGCATTCAGAGACTTAAAGCCACATTCCACATAGCAGACTGGATTTGAGTTTGAGTTCGTACGCACTATGAGAGGCTCCTTGTTGACGTTGTGCATGTCCAGGGCCACCAGGTACTCCCGGCTGCCCAGGTAGAGACGGCCCTGATCCTGATCCATCAGGAGGATGCGGTAGTCGCTGGTGTTGAAGGAGAAACTAAAAGGCCGGGCCGCACGCGTGTCCATCAGTTCTGCGTGGGCGGAAAAAGAAAAAATCTCAACTGTGTTAAAAACATCTACAGCCTCAGGAAAAACCAACAGCAGGGGGAGCGAGGATTGTCCCTGAACAACTATTCACTTTATCCCCTTTATGCCCTTGACATGTTTCATTACTGACGCAGATGAACTTGCGGTGCCTTCAAGTTCTCAGTCCTTTTCTGGAAAATGTGTGTCACTGATTAAATATAACTCAACTAACAGCATTTTAGGAAACATATTGGCTTTTAAGATCTCAATATTTTATGTGTCCTGACTCCCTGATTGAGTTTGAGGCACCGCATGCCTCGTGGAGTTAGACGAAAAAGCGGGTCCCCGAGGAAACACGGTCAGTGGAACTAACAGCTAATTCTTAAGATCGGGATTGTGTTCAGCAGAGCAGAACCTGTTAGGACACGCTGCAGTGGAACATGTTTCGCCTTTTTTTTGTTCTCCTGAAAGCTCTGATTAAACAATTTTCATCTGCTGCGAGACAAATGGACTCTGCACCAACTCTGAATGTGATTTTTATATTTCCATCCTTCCATCCAACAATACATTGCATCACATTAAAGGCATAAAAAGCACACACACACCCATACACACACACACACACACACACACACACATACACACACACACATACACACACACATACACACACACACACACACACACATACACACACAAATGCTGACCCGAACCCTAATCTACTGTATATAAAAGGTGTTTGTAATTAATTCAAGTCATATATTTCAAATCGTCTCATTGTCTTGTAGTTGTTATTATTTTACAAACAGTCGTGTTCATATGATATATTAATATTATTTATTTTGAAGGGACCATGTAAGTGTAGAGAATTTTAAAAAGAACTCAGTCTTGCTAACCCTAACCCTATACTAACCATAACCTAACCCTAATTCTAACCTAACCCTGATTCTAATTCTAACCCTAACCTAAACCCAAACCTTGTTTTAACCCAAACTGAACCCTACCAGTGCCTGAGGGACCAGTTCCCTTATCCCTCTTAGTGTTAACCCTAAACCTAAACGCAACTCTAACCCTAACAGCAACTCTAACCCTCAACAGCTCATTGAAAGTGGGTCAGAAAGTGAGGACTGTCCAAAATGTCCTCACTCCATTAGGTCTAGGCTCAAAAGGGCAAACACACACACACACACACATCTGTGACATGTGCCAGATACTGACAGCCATATGTGCACACTGGGACATGACGCCGGCATGTTAAAGACAGCGGGCTTATATCATGACAAATGTTCCCAGAGACCCTCAGAAGCCGGCTTACGGGGATTGGAGAGGAAGCGCAATCTTTATTTACATCAAAGTGCCTGCCATCTTCCCTCTGAGGTCAATGTTAACAGGATGCAGTCAAGGTGCCACTAAAATAAGCGATGCAATCGGATCTCTGGACGACACGGGATGGAGCCGCGGACGTGGGCCGAGGTCCGGCTCTGTTCCTGAGAGGTAAACACAGGATAACAAGCCTCGGGCCGAGCTCCACCGGGCCATAGTGGATTCAGCCAGGAGGCTAAATGTGGAAACACCACACCCCTATACATGTCTCCATCCTCCAAAAATAGCAAACAATGTACTGCCATCATCTGGTAAACATCCAGCAAACACTTCTGACAACATTCTGACACTGACAGGGAAACACTGGGAAGGACATTGGATTCAAGTATGAAGCTACAGCACTATGGGCGCTCATGTTACAACTTAACAGCATATTGTCAGTGAGGCACTAATGAGCGCTGCCATTTAGTCCCAGCCTTATGGACAAACTGGTGACAGCACTGAGAAGGCATGGGATCCTGGAACATGGCTCCAATTACCCTGCACGTTCTGCTCTCTAGCAACTCTATTAAATGGCACTCAGTCCAGTCCCTTTGTAGTGGGTGTGAGTGACACCGCTTCCCAGCCTCAGAGGAAACAATACAAGATATCTCTCCTCTGCAAGGCCTCCTGTGCCCCAGAGTGTCACTCAGGGCAGCTCATTCGCTCACAGGAGTCACATGTCCCCCGGCCGCCCCGATACCTCCTCCGCAGGCGCCGTGGAGAACAAAGAAACTCGCTGTCACAAACAATGAACAATAAATCGTCGGGGTGGCAGAAAACAGTTGGGGAGTAAATCCAACTTTTTTCCTTCTTGTTTGGTATTGGGGGGGGGGGAAGGGTGAGTGAGGTCTGTGTATGTGGCCGATTTACTGGTTGATTCTGCACCTCTCAGCTGTTTCTACACAAACTGCATGAATTCGTCTGTGCAGATGTGAACGTCTGTATCTTGCACAAGGAGGAATACGATCAAGTTCAAGACCGAACTTGTGTAATTGGTCCTAATACTAATACCTTGTACACTGTGTTGCTAAAACACACTACTGTGTATAAGCTGTTTACCAAAAGTCCAGATTAGTGTTAAAGGTTGAATAAAAATGCACTGCAATTACCCTCTCATGCTTCAAATCCATATGCAACAACTACAACCATGTGGCATGAACAGCTGTTGTAAGTCTCATAAAATCAAACTGGATTCAAAACTAGATTCCAGCTGCGTGTAGTTATCAACCACAGATCTCACGTGTTCTATTTCTTCTGTTTATTTTGTCCAACATGCTCCATTTCCACGAGAAATTTGGTGCAAAACAATAAAGAAGTAAGTAATTAAATATAAAACCAAAAAGGTGTTGGCTGAAGTAACAAGTTCACACCTTTAAACACAGTATTTATTTAATTGGCTGCACTATAAGGCCCGAGGCTTGTTTTTCAAATAATTGTTTTAACTTGCAAAGTGAGCTACATGTTTCTGTTCCTCATTATATTTACAAGCACAGTGCCAGAGCAACCTCAGAATGATTCCTTATCATAAGTGAGTCCTCCTCAAACAGTTTTTATTGTTTGTGTGCTGGACATTGTGTGCACAGCTTTTTATAAACAGTCCATGTTGCAGAGGGAAGTTAGAAAAGTCTGTGTTCCTCCTACCTGGTTTATCTGCAATGAAGACTTTAGAATCAATGTTTTGCATAAAATGAAACTGAATTTGTTAGTGGGTAGATTCCTAAAATGTTCCCCTTATACACATCTATTTTTTAAATTTTTACATCCTTATTTTTGTTTTCTTGATTCCCCTGAGTTCATGATTGAAACCAAACGTCTGATCTGCTTCACGTGTCTCTTGTTTAGAAAGTACAACATGTTCCTCACTGAATCGACAGTAAGGCACCAAACACACTGACCCAGTCCGGACCTGGCAGCTCGCAGCCTCTTCAAACCTCCGAGGAACGCCATAAATCTGATTCACGCTTCCTCTAATTCTCACTCACAGGTACACCTCAGGTGTGACACGTGTGATTTGTGAGTGTGCATGTCCACATGTGCAGGTGCGCTTGAAGACACAACATGATAGAGGATAGAGACACAGAAATAACTGTAATCATGCAGCATTGTTTTTGATCAAAGGCATCATCCACATATTTGTAACATGAACCTCGGCCATTAGTCTGCAGATTGTGCGGGAAAATCCCAAAAGCTGACAAAAAAAAAGGTTTGAAAAAAAAAACCACAATCCACTCCCATCTTAGATTTTATCCACACGGCCAAAAAACGTGGCGGCTCTAACACTTCATTTGGCTCTTTTGATCAGATTTCAGCTGCTTCCTTCCCGAGTCATCGTGTCGTGACTTCAAAAACAGAGGGGAACCGACAGGTCAGGCCGGAGCTTGTGTGAGTTTTCAGGGTGTGGAGGAGAAACTCTGTGGAAGGGCACTGCCAGTATCCAGCCTCACGTAATATCCACCTTTTGTTTTCAGTGTTGCTCTGTTTGACATGTGGCAGGAAATACGTTCTTTACATATGTATAAAGAGGAAGCATAACCCCCACTGGTGTGGATACGTGCGTAAGGGGGACTGAACGAGTGTGCGTGAGTGAAACATGTACGAGAGAAGTGCCGGGACAATCCCTGCTGTCAGAGGAGTTGGAGTTAATCTGTATGAGCTCACCTTTGAAGGAGAGACGAACCCGTGGAGCAGACTGCTGCAGGCCTGAGCCTCTGTAAACACATAAGGCCAACAGGAGGAGTTGGGCTCCAGATGCTGTCATGGTAACAGTCATGCAGGTAGCCCACAGAGATCTAAATCTGGACGAAGAAAGAAAGAGGAATGAACTATTATTATAGAGTGCCCCATGAGAAATATGAGACAGAAAAAGAAGGAAGGACAGACTCCCTCTCGTTCTCTTTCTTCCTCTGATCTCTGTGATCAGAAGTTTGGCCTGAAGCCTTCGACAGCGAGAGGTACAGTTTGGCAGGAGAGAACAACGTCCAGATCTTCACACCTGCTCTGGAAAATATGACAGCCCTATTATTTATTTAAAACGTAGTGAGGTGTGTGTCGAGACTGTGGAATATTGTATTTTCCAGCACATTCACGTGGAAAAGTCTGGAACAATGGACTGAATGCGTGTGTGTCTTCGTCTCCTTCGACGTTATCTTTTCTTAAAAACGTGTATTTCATCCAACATTTTCATAGAAAACTGTGCGTGAAAGATCCTCGAGCCCATCAGTGATTCCCTCTGCCTCTCTCTGTCTTTCAACAAAGCACGTCTGCGCACTTTGAAAAGCTGACGAGTGAAATACATGACAGTTCAAAAGAAACAGGTAGCCCTCGCTGAAACCACCTCTGACAGTTTAGGGGTGTCGAAACGCAGCCTAACTGTTAGACCTTAACTCCGCATTCATTATGTATCTGCACTTTGCCGGAGAGGATCCCAGATAAATAATGAATACTAAAAGCTGAGTCCATAACATCCATTAAATTGTCTCCCTGTAGGTGTGCTTTACTCGGGCTATAAGCCATCCCAGGGGTTTTTCCTTTTTCTCATGACATCCATGTAGCCAAGGCCTCTGGTGGCACAAGCCTCAGAACAAAAAGAAGGGGGCTTTTAGGGGAGAGGTATTCATGGGGAAAGCTAGCTAAGTTTTCACAAAATGCTCATCACAATTCCACAACAGGGCGTGACACGTTTTATAAAAAGACATTTTCCCATGGAAGAAACAAATCTCAGCATTTTCATGAAACATTTGGAAAATTAGAACCAGAAGTCACTTTCTGGCATCATCACACAGATGCCATACATCTTCCCACCAGGGAGGCTCCGTCTTTACGTTCCTCTTATCATGGTAAATAGCACCGTGAGATTTGTAATCAATGTGATTTTGTGTTATTAAGTTTCACAAGGTAGTGATCAACCAAAGAGGATCCATGATTAAAACAGCACTGAATCACTTTGACTTCATATAAGAGAAGAAATCAGAGTAGAAATCATGGAAACAATAAAGAAAAATGAGCTTAATTGGGAATTACTGACATTTGTAAGTCTCTATATGGGCAACAAGCAAATGACCATGACCATTAATGTTCAGTGTATTAATCTACTGTCATTTTTAATACAAAACAATGTGTTCCCAATGAAATGCCTTCAAAATATCTAAAATAATCCATCAGAAAATATGACTACAGCGTTTTATTGTGCCTGAGGGTCTCCATGTCTGATGGCCTGGTTGTACTTTGTGGGATTTCACTGCTGGTTTTGTGTGTTGGGTGGTAACGTCCCCACAGATTAAAGTCCTGCTGTAATAATATATGATTTCCCCAAAAATAAAATAATTACAGGATTTCTATAACCTACTTCTTTCTTTTTCCGCTGAGGAGTGCGCGCACTTACCTGTGAACTCAACATCCAGAAATAGGAACCCGAACAAATGTGCGCGTACTTGTGCCATCCAGTGCGATACAGAGTAACTCAAGTTAAAAGTTAAACCACAGAGGAGTGAAATGTTCCTACCTTTGATTTCTCAGCGTCTCTACAGCTGCTGTGTGCGCCCCGAGGATCCAAAAGTTGCGCGTTGTTACCGCTGCATTCCCCGCGTTGTGCGCCCTCGGAGCCGGATTGGAAAATCTCTCAGCAGCGCTGCGCAGGCATGAAACAATCCGAGAGGTTTCCAGGAGAAAAGAAAAACCGGCCCCACTGCCTATTCAGTCGAGCGTATTTCCTCCATGTAACGACACAAGACAAAAGAGAGGCACGCACAGCTGATCCCGGATCCCCTGTGCCCGCTTTTATCCAAAAGTTTACCCCTGGAGCGCAGCAGCCATCGCCGTGATGTGGACAAGATGTTGCTCCATCGGTTCCTTTACAGACGGTTTGAATGTGAATCAAGTGACCAGGTGCAGGTGTTGAGAGAGAGAGTGTCCTGCTGTCCTCTCCCTTCTGCTCTGCCCCCACCCAGCCTTCCCTCTCCTGTTGGCCACAGCAGCATTGGACCAAACCTCTCCGTGCGCCATATGGGTATGATTAACCCTTCAGCTGCCGCTTACTTCAGCTCCACTCGATTATACTGGGTTGTTAAATGTGTTCTCTTCTGGTGGAGTTTATTCAACCTGAATAATTAAATGAAATGGTGACGCACAGGCACAGCTTGATGTTTTTCTCATGCACTTGGACTCTTCTCATATACAAGATGCAGGGGCTGAGGTTCACTTAGAGATGAGGCCTGCTCCTTGGACCATGTCACCATTACTTTTCAGCTCCTCACAAGAGCCAGGTCAGGCGAAAAAGATTCCTGGGATTCCTGTGTGCCGGGCTCCAACGCTCATGACAACGGTGACAAAGCAACCGGGGTGGTGGGGGGGGCTGCACGTAAAAGGACATCCACCCTGTTAACTGAGCCTTGAGCTTGAAAGTAAAGCGGCTTATAGAGCGGCCTCTCGTCATTACTGGGTTTTGTGGTGAGCTCTGACGCTGGACAGTGCACAGAGGACACAAAAGCGGAGGGTGAGTGTATTCTGAGCAGAGACAGTAAAAGTATAATAAACACACGAGGCAATGAGGAGGAGACATCTTGTATTCCATCTATTTGAACTTATCTTCAATGCACATTCTCGGGGTTTGATTCACCGTGTTACAGATAGAGAACGAGTGACCTTATCTCATGTTGGGTATCGGCCAGTGGTGATGTGCAAGCACTGATGTGTCCTGGAGGGACTTTTTGTTTCCCGCCCCACAGGAGGCATCCCTCCTGTTTCCAGCTGAGGAAATGAGTCACAAGTCTGCGTAAAGTTCAGGCTTCCGTGTGCTCTCAACTTTGACCATGGACACCGGTACAGGGACCAGCTCCCACCGCTTCATAAGCCACCCATTAACGTCATCCGTATCTCTGCCTGAGCCATCCTCCATCCTGCAGCCTTATCTGACCAGCATGCACCCACCACTGCCTCAACTTGCTGGAGATAGCAGCTGCTCTTCACTCACCCTCAGAATAGAGTGTTTTTGCGGTGAGCGTAAGTACAAGGAGCGAGAAAAAGTCGGCTGTACGGGGCCTGTTTCCTCAAGCATGATGGATGGATTTTGTATCACAGACGAACAAGTGTCGATTAGAAAACAAACACTGAGTCTGTTTTTTCTCGTCCACAAAGAGCTCTGTCAAGAGGATCCTCCGGTCTAATGGATGGGTAACGTGAAATGCGAGGTAGACATTTATCCCTGTAGGCCTTCCAAAGGCTCCAGATAAATCCAGAGCTCTCAGACACATCAATCATGACAATTCCAGGGGATGAGCGCTGTCCCCTCGAGGAAAAACAACCCATTATTTGACCCCATTGATGGTCTTACCTCAAAGTATATTGATGAATTGGAGAGTGTCTGAACAAGCCCGCTGCAGAGAGTCCAGGGCGTCACCCTCACCACCATGACCTTGAGAGGAAATTACAGGGTTGTGAAAATACAGGTACAATATTCACCTGGATAATTTGCTCCATTTTCCATCGCGTCCCCTCTCACATGACTTTACAAGTCTCCTAATTATTATCCTACAGGTCAGGGAAAAATGTAAACATCAAAATGCGAGACAAGGGAACAGGTGCTGTGTGACATCCATGAACTTCACACTCCGATGGTTATCAAAAGGAGAAAGTAACTCTGGAAAAACATCTTTGACGTGAAGGCCTCATACGTGGCGTGCATTCCATACGCAGCCTGCTCACCTCGCACTGGCATGGAAGTGAGGTGATGGAGAGTTTTTATGGAGAAGAATGTACAGAGATATTGTATCTGCAGCTTCCCTGAGACGAAGCATCGCCTGCAGTCGGCCAACATGCCACGTGTCCACCGGGCCAGCCAGCCAGCCAGCCACCATCTGCCTTGAAGACGAGACTGGCACTCTTCCTCGCTATAAAATGCAGCTGGGAGTATCAACAGCTGCTGAAGAGGAGCTCTTTCCATACAGCCAGGGGTGTGTGTTGGGAGGGAGGGCTACTGTACATGAAGAGGAGGATGGCGGAGGATGTGAGGTGGATGAGTGAAAGTACAGCTTTGTGTCTTTAGAGGTAAACCTGTCAGCACCAGCCTGTGGTAACAGCCAGTTAATGATTAAGTGTCCCAGTGCAAAATATTGTATGTGTGACTTCAGGCTCCTTAACCTCTATGACAGACTTTGTGCTCAGAGGATCAGTGGGAAAAAACATGTGACATGCAGAATAAAGTGAGAAAACACAGAGTGCATGTGTGCCTCTCTCCTGCAGACATGTCTAGAGCGTGTGCACGCAGACACGGATGCACAAACACGCTTGCACTTGCTCTGCAGCTTGAATTAAAATTGATTTCTCTTATCTCTCTCTCCCTCTCTCTCTGCACCCATCCTCTCCCTCACGGCCCCGAGACGCCGGACTCCAGGTGAATTTCAATGTCAAAGGCACGAAGGTAACAGGAGCTTCTGCAATCTGTTCATTCTGTCAAGTGGTTGTGTGTGTGTGTGTGTGTGTGTGTAGGTGTGTGCTCGTGCCCTCCTGTGCGTGCGCGTACAGTATGTGAGTGATTGGTGGGGGGTGGACCCATTCATCTGTCTGGTGTGATCGTGGCTCTCTGTAACCGGGGCCGAGGCGTGAGTATGCACTGTGATCTCCCAGATAAGAGTCATCCATCTGCTGTGTGTATCTGTCAGGACCCAGGCATCTCTGCTTATCACTGCACTCATCCATTTCCCTCCATCATGCTCACTCTTTTTCTCTCTCCTCACTGCCCCCCCCCCTCCTGCACACTTCAAATGCTGTGCTTCA